ACACTTTGCAAGGCATGAGTTGAAAATATAGAAAATCAGTACTTTATAATGCATATGGAAGTGTAATATTAACAGAAAATTCTGTTACTAGAACATCATTTTACTTAGCATTAGTAAAAGTGGTACTGAATGAATGCCTCAATTTCATTATGAAGAACAAAAAGGAAAAACTGGAGTAGTTAAGATAAAAATCCTTTCAGGAAGAGGAAATTTTAATGCCTGCTCAAAATGCCTTTAAACAGATTAAAAGCCAAAACAAAGATATAATTTCCTCTGAATGCAACTAAATATTGAACAAACTACTTACCTTTCTTATATCCTCGGTACCATGAGTCGTTTCTATTTATTTGTTTTATTATTTCACTTAATTTTTAGAACTTTTTAAAACTTTATTATTCACTTGCATTTTATGATAATTTAATTAACTTATTTATATACCATTCAATAATTTAATTCATTAAAATTTTTATCCCTTTATGATTTGCTTGGTTTCAATTATTCATTATTAGCCCAAAGGGGCAATTTGTCCAGAGGGGGGATTAATTTCACTTTTCGAATTGTTGCCGCGAAATATTAGAGCCCTGTGTTACATTTAAAGAAATTAAATAATGAAGAATCTGCATGAATGTATGTATGTTTCTTGCACTGTGATAAAACAACTGTATCTAGAGCCATCAAATTTTGAATAACGTACGTCTCCACCCGAATATGGGCATCTGGAAGCCCAAATTTGCAGTTTGTTTTATTATCTATTTCATATTTTGTTAAGCATTTATGAGTTTTTGATTAAGACACCCAACGTTTTCAAAGCCAGCAATGGCAACACTGCACGTGAAAAAAAAAAAACTATTATCTTCAGCACGAGAGATTGTGTATCAGAAATTCTAAAGATATGCTCTTCTCAATTTTTTGTGATATTGCTGTTGAATTGAATTTTATGCTTTAAGTGTGAAGAATATGATATTTAATAAAGGTAACGCACAAAACGTTAAAAAACACCCTTTGGGCATAATATAAAATCTGAAAGCTTTCATATTTTTTTTTATTTATTATTTAATTAATTTACTTTTGTTTACAGTTTCTGATGGCTTTCCATACAATTAGGGCATTTCTTATTTCACACATTAAGCGCTAGCTCTAATACTGGAGCAAGTTTAGACCTTTTAATATACAAGCCATCAAGAAAAGATCCTTAGTTTATAAGGTATTTCTCCCGCCTTCCCGCCCTAGCGTGCCTTCGTGGTGTAATGATTCTCCACCCTGGCCCAGTATTTCAGAGCTCCGTGGTTCGATTCCCGGCGAAGGCGATTGCTCATTTTTCATCTTGCCTGCTTCCAAAAAATACCTAATATCTCCTCTACAGTGGTGCCTGAACTAAAATGGTGCTGAATGATGATTCTCCTCACCCAGGATTTGGCGACTGGATCCCCTAAAAAAAAAAGTCGCCCTTTAAGAGGGGGAGTATATAAGGTATTTCTCCCACCTTCCTAGCATGCCTTTGTGGTGTAGTGGTTCTGCACGCTGGGCCAGTATTCCAGAAGTCTGTGGTTCAATTCCAGCGAAGGCGATTGCTCATTTTTCATCTTGCCTACTTCCAAAAAATACCTAATATCTCTACAAGTTACATAAAATAAAATTTAAGAATAGAAAAAAAAGCAGAAACACCTTTAAATAGAAAATAAACTTGAGTGTGAACTTATACCCCGTACAAACACCAACAGTATTTGTAATATTAAGAGTGAAACTTAAAAACTCATTCACTATTTTTAATACATATAAAGCTAACTTAAATTCATTAATATAATTTAAAAAAAAATTAAACAGCACTACCATTACGAAAATGCAGGCTGCACCTGAAAGAAGTTATGTCTGGGTAGTAAGATAGATGAAATGGGTGTTTTCAGCCAAAGACTGTGATATTTTTGCTTCATAAAGAATAAGGAATCACTACAAAACAAGATTATTTTTCTGATGGCTTTGGTAGGTGGCTTATCCAATTTTTGCATACAGATAAGAGCAGTGAAAAAATATATATATACTTCTGAATTTATAGCTTTAGCACATTTGAACAGTTTTTAATGAATTACACTTTTATTCTCTAGCAAGTGCACAATTAAATTCTATTCCCATGAATATCTGATTTTTTAAAGGTAGGATTAGCACCTGATAGCTATTATTATACAAGACTGGATTTTTCACACAACAGTGTATTAGAAGTACAAATACGTCTCTGCGGTTTGACGAAAATGGTGCCACCGGTATGTTATGGTTAAAACTGTCTGATGCAAAACATCATAGTGTAAGGTTGGACATTTGCTAACTATATAACCTTGAAATATTAGTGACTGTGTATTAGCATCATATATTTTTTCATTTGGGGGGGGGGGGGGGGGGGGGGGGAATGTTGAGTTTTGAGCTGAATGAGCATCATTTGCTGGAACTTTTTATTTACTTCTTTAATTTGAAGAAATCTGTCGCTGAGACACATCAATTGTTTACAAAAGTATATGGTGAAGCTGCATTAAGTGAGAGAAGCTATCATTAGTGGTTCCAGACGTTTAAGAATAGTGAATTTCAAGTCAAAGAACACAGCGGAAGGATAAAAGATGCAGGATTCGAAGCATTAGTGGATGAAGATTCTTTACAAACATAAGTAGAACTTGCACTAACACAAGGAGTGACTCAACAAGCAATTTAACATCATATAAAATCATTCAGAATGATTAATAAGCAAGGAAATTGGGTTCCATATGAACTGAAGTCGAGAAACGATGAAAAACAATTTTTTACATGTGAAATGCTGCTTGCCAGGCATAAACCAAGGGGTTTCTTGCATTGTATAACCACTGGTGATGAAAAATGGATCCACTATGAAAACCCAAAGAAGACGAAATCATGGGAACCACCTGGCTATGCTTCACTATCGACATTCGTGGGAAAAAATCCTACTGTGTATATGGTGGGATCAACTTGCTGTCATATAATTATGAGTTGCTCAAACTCAATGAAACTGTTACTGAGGCTCTCTACCAAACACAGTTGATGAGACTGAGCTGAGTACTCAAGAAAAGTGCACCCACTACTCTACTACTACAGACATGACAAAATTATTCTTGTCCACAATAGCACTCACCCACATGTTGTGGCACCAGTCAAAACTTACTTGGAAACACTCAAATGAGAAGTCCCCCCCCTTGTTTTGAGTGATGATGCATGGCCTATCAGAGCAGTGCTTCACATCATATGAAGATAGCAAAAACTGGATTCACTTGTGGATAGCCTTAAAGAATGAGGCATTCTTCCGACACCATATCTGTATACTGCCAGAAAGATGGGGAAAAATAGTGGTTAGTGATGGATAGAATTTTGAATTAAACATAACATACTGTTCTTTCATAATAAATGGCCAATTTTTGACAAAAATAACACAGACTTATTTGTACTCCCCGTATATTATTTTGGTACCTAAAAAGAAATGAAGAATACCAAACCGCAATTTACTACAATTCCTATACATCAAAAGGAATTCATGTTCCATTTTTGCTACACTTTTTTGCATTGCATACAGTTGACAGAAATCTTAGTAAGTCTAATATTCTGGTGATCTGATTCAGTATGTCCTGAAGATTTTTTCAGCTATAGCTTGAAGAAGCACATTATAAGCATGTAAAGATATTATGGACCTGTCTTTAGATTTTTCGGCTAAATAGTAAAACTCTTTTAAATGTTCATAAGCAAATTTCACTGAACATCAAAATTAATTATCTCTGCAAAATATCGCAAACATTATTGCGCAATGCAATTCTTCCTTACGTGATATTTCGAAATCGGAAATCAACAGCTGCCAGTATTCAGAGAATAAAAAATAAATAAAGGAAAAGAAAGAGACTTACTAATCTGGGGGATTTTTCATTCTAATTTTGAACAGACTGTGTTAAATTTCCAGAATAGAATCATTCTTCTCTTGGGTTGGTAGACTGCAGAACTTTTAATCCTATTCAATCCAAATTGGAAAGTGACCAAAAAAAAAAAAAAAAAATCCGTTGCTTGTTTTGCAGCGAGCTGTAACGGTTTCAATATTCGTGATTTTGTGGAGAAAGGGGAGGACCTCCCAACTTCCATACTGTATAATGTATTGGAAAAAAAAAATTAAATTATTTTAACTATTCGATTACTTTCTCCTTAAACCATTCCGAATATTATTCCTTAGAAAGCTAACCTCTGTTAAAATACACTTACCCATTTCTGGAAGTTTATATACTTCAGCAGTTACTGCAACTATATTATTATAAATATTAATATAACGATCATAATAAATGTGAATATGTACCGACCACGTGGAAGAAAATTCAAATTATTAAAATCTTGATAGAAATCCAAACATGTGTAGTATTTTTGGGTGGGAGGAAAAGAATACGAATGTACCGGAATTTTCTACCGCTTTCGCAATTCTTTGACCAATAGAACGACATGCACCTGTCTGTACTCTCGCCCGCACCAAAGTTTACGTTAATGCAGAGAAAGGGGATAAAGCTATTTCCGGGAGTATGATTTACCATCTGAAGTTCCATCTAAGGAAGAAAAGTTGTTTATTTAGTTTCGGCTTTGGTGCGGAGAAAAAATGCACGTTCATAAAAAAGAGGGGGGGGGGCTTTAAAGAAAAAGTAAGCACTTATAAGGGCCTTTATATTTTATTTTCATATATAAGGACTTATAAGAACTTGTAAGGACCGCTACAAACCCTCTTTCACCTATACAATTAGGTGGATCATAACTTAAAAAACAGACTTTACAGGAATTTAACTCATCAAAAGTAAGGACTCAACACCAGGGATTAATGAATTACAAGATCATTTTGTAACCAACAGCTATCCAAAAATTTCAATTTATTAATCATTTATTTACCTATCAAATAAAAATATCTGTATGCAATTTAATATGTGTTTCCATACATGTAATTTTTACAGCCATGAAAGGGAAATGTAGAAGTCAAACACTAATTTTTAACCAATGAAAATATAATTTATTTTCAGCGCACAGTTAAAAAACATGAATGAACATAAAAAAATGAACTACAAGAATTTTAATTTAGACACTTAAGCATAATAGTTCAAATTAGCTTTCTTTTTAGCTTGAACTTCCAGAATAGCATCCATAAAATCTTCATGTGTTACAACAGTAGCTCCCCTCCTCAGTGCAATCATTCCCTAGGAAATCAAAGAACGATTAACATATAATTGTGTTCTTCAACAAATTAGATGCATTACACATGCCTTCCTACAATAAATTTTTATGACCAAAAAGAATGTATCCTGTTTATGAATGACATTATGTGATACAATAAATAGTTATTTGCTCAGCATGATAAAAGAAACATTATGATTTCCACTAAAAAATTCATTAACATAAATTATATTTTTCTTCTGTGACTCTTGCTATGCAGTTCTGCACATTAGGAAATGCATCAAATGCATTTATCACTATCAATAACTAATATAACTGTTGTCATGATAGAAAATGATGACATCAATTGAGTATTCTGAAGGTAAACAAACTTATTAATACACATTTTTTGAAAAATATGTTAAAATAGAATATATACAGTAGTATCTCCATATCCATAGGTAATATCAGTGTACAGTGCATAACGTAACTGTTCTTTTTAAGCATACTGCCATAGCCCTAATTCAAAGTGTGATCGATGGATTATTACAGGAATGAAAGAAAATTATTGTTGTGAGATGATTATTGTAGTCTTTTATAATATGGATATAAGTGCAAATGAATTAGCGAAGAAAAGTAATGTTCTTGATTCACTGCATTTACTGAACATGCATTAGAAAAGGAAATAAAGAACTGCTTTAATCATGCCAACCTTTTAATGAATTATGAAATAAAGGAATCTAAAGAAGAAAAAGCAAAATCAATCTCCTACTAATATGAATTGTGAGGAATTTAACACATGTAAGGATAGAATTCAAGTTGCAACATTGACCATAGAAGAAAATATTGAAACACATCATGAGATAAACTTTTTGAAGATGAAATTGATGAATTTCCTATAAATACTAAGAAGTGGGATGCCCTATAAGTATTCAGATTAGAGGTATTGTCTACAGCATCAGTCAAATAATTTCCAGAAACATTATCAGCAGGTAATAAATTAAACTTTGAGTAAAAGATTTATAAACTTATTATAATAAAAAACTTACTATTTATATTTATGCATAAAAGGCACTATGACCAGTTCATAAATGAACCTTTGCATTTTCTAAATTAAAATGTTGTGAAAGTATTTATTTATATGTTTCTAGTTATATTTAGACCAAATTAGTCATACTGTACTACTATTTTTAAGATTTTTTTAATCGTTTGATACTATCACTTAGTTAATGTAAGGAAAATAGCCATGGATAAATGTGACCACATTAAATGGTGCTCACTGTACAATACGTGTTACACCACTTGGATATTCACATGATTTTCAGAGTGTAGAGACAATATTACAGTTTGCTTAATAAATTATGTTAAGGCATGCAAAAGCTTTCTTTCTAAGAGGAAGCCAGTGCTTTTGTATAGCACATTTTAAGGGAAGCTGGCTCGTATTCTCATTCACTCACAGCTGAGCGATTTGTATGAATTTCAGAAATGTATTATAAGTTATATTTTCAAACTTGCAAACAAGGCTGCAGAGTACAGATAAAATAAGCATGTGTTATAAGTTTTGTTGGTGCCTTTATGTCAGTTGCATTCAAGCTGAACTCCATATAAATTAAAATTTTAGTTACGTTACAAAAAAATTATACACCAAACAGTAACTATGGCAAACTTAATATAAACATATTACAAAAGGTTATAAAAATTAATGCAGCATAAACATACAGAAAACAAATTTCATTACTATGAATAAAAAAAGTAATAGTATGAATTTGAATCGAGAGATCTGAAACAAAGAAATTCAAGGCAATGTGCACTATAAATTAATAACTATTAAAAGTGCAATAATTTAGTTCCTGGAATGTTTATACCCTAAATGTAACAAAATTACATAAATATACAGGTTTGAACATGTCTGAAGTAATATGTGGAAAAATTTCAAGTAACTGAAATCTGTGCTAGTTTAGTCATTAGACATAACATAGATATCTATATGCGCCATTTTGCATAAAAATAGATGACTGAAACCAAAAGTACTATATTAACATTAAATTTCGTCTGAAAATTGGGGAATGGGAAGATGTTGAAACATCAGACTTACTGAATACTGCATATGGTGAATATGCTATTGAAAAAAAACTAAGCACATTAGAGCATAAGAGATTAAAAGGTGGTAAGAAGATGTAAGACAAACAGCGAATATAAATTATGGACATTAAATATTAACAGACACTGAAATATTATATGACCTGACAAATAGTTATGCCTAGTATTGACAGCTAAAGAATTACAAGTTAATTAAGAAACAGTTAGGCTAATTTTAACTGAAGAAATGATTTGGAAATACAAAAAATTTCCAAAAGTTTGTGTCTCTAAAATACTCTTTGTGAGACAATTTTTGGTTAAGAAAAAAGAAAAGAGAGGGAGAGACACACAGAGAGAAAACATGCTATTATCAGATTAGCAAATCCTACATTTTCAACCGATTTAGCTCTGTAATTTCTCGCTATTTCTAAATTTGAAAGGTTTGTTGAAGGGGTAAAGATTTTCTCACAGAACCATCTATCAAGACTGTGAGACAAGTACTGGCAAAGTTAATCACTAATATATAATATTTTCATTCAGTTAAATTAATTATTAAATCTACAAATCTTTATTATGATTTTCCACGTAAAAGAAGGAAAACCCTATAACTGTATAACACTTTTTTTTATTTTACTAATACAATTATTTATAAGCATTTGTGCACTACTTCAAGTACTCATATCAACCTTTTCCACAATTTGTTTATTTTTATACTAAAATTTATAATCTTATTTGTTACTAAACATATATATTTTTTACTCTGAATGTTTTTGGCTGAAATTACTTTCATATATAAATATTATGCAAATTAACCAATAATATCATTATAAACGTTCACCGTTAAAGTGCCAATTTCTGTTTCTTTATGTTACAAATTTTAAAAGCCTGGAATATTATACATTTGCCTGCACACAGCTATTCTTGCTTTGAAATGAATTTCTTTCTTTCATTTAGTTCGTTATTGAATACATTAGCACTAAAAATAACAGGGGTGAGGAAAAGTCTTGTCACCTTTTTCATTCTTTCCCATTTTTTTTTATGCACGTATGGAGGGGGGTAGATTAATTACTAGCATAAATCTCTGTTAATTTATGCAGAATAGTAATGATGTTTCAAAATTAAACACTTTAAATCACTGATAGCAATATATTCATGTTCTTCCAAAACATATCTGAAATGCTAAACATGATCCAAATATGTTTGATATATTCACAAATGATTATAATTGATATTATTACAAAAATATGCATCCAAATATGTGGAAGCATCATTATCCTGAAAACTTGTGTTGTCTCCTCTAACTTTTTTTCACTTGTTTTACTAACAGTTTAACATTTAAGTTTCTGTAATGTACACTAAAGTCTTGTAATTTTACTAAATTACATTTTCTAATGAATTCTACTAAGTATAGAAGGGTACAAAAAATAAATCATTGACAAGATTTAAAAGTTCTACAAAATTCTACTAAAGTTTCTAAGTTGGACTTAGAAATCCAACTTATATTGGATTACTAAAGTTAATTCTAAGTTGGAAAAAGAAGTTAAGCTGTTGAATTACAAAAGGAAATGCACATTTCAGAACCAACATCTATAACTTAGAGTAATAATGAAAGACTTAAGAGGCTCGACTTATGATAAAAACAACTGTTTAAATTTGATTGGAGCAAATATAATGCAGACTTTTAAGAACTTCACATTCACTGCGGCAAAAAAAAAAAAAAAAAAAAAAAAAAAATATTCAAAAGCATTTATTTAAACTAACCATAACTAACTTCCACAACAGCAATTTTAGATTTTCTGGTCTTCATATAAACCTATATTATTGTTTTGAGATGAAATTATCAGATATCTATTATACTAACTGTCTGATAATTTCATGTGCTGACAAGGCATTTCTAATTGTCTTTTGTGTACTTTTTATTACAATTTGTTGACATTTAGCCTCAATCATGGTTCAAATAAATGAATATGAAAAGTGCTTTTCCTGAATACAAATTTACTGCCCAAAACAAATAAGGTTCATTGCCACAATAGATTAAATATAATTTTTAAAAAAACTTAACAGCAGAATGTTTTTTCTGAAGATTGTAAGATTTGTACCATCTGCTAATTTACAGTTTATGAGGTAAATAATAATAAGAAAAAGAAGAAAGAAAGACGAAGCAGAAAGAAAAACTATTCAAGCACTTTTCAGATTATGATTTAAACAGCTGAGCATGTGAACCACTATTCAGGTTCTCCTATTTCAGCTATCATGCAATATGAATATGGTAACAACCTTCAGCTCCACGACATGCAAATCCACTCAGTTGCAATTTGTTTTTCATAAGCAGCATTGATGATTTTTCTGAAGACAAGATAGTATAAAATAAAAATATACTAATGATTGTAATAAAAATGTTGTTTGTAAATATTTAAAAAAAAATTTTTTTTAATTTTATTTGGTTTTCCTTTAAATTTGTGGTGAATTTGTATCAGATCAATGTACTGATTTATAGAACAAAGGTGTGGTGAGGTAGTTAATTAAGTATATTCTAACATATCAGTAATCCCCCCCCAAAAAATTTATCTGACCCCTTACAAGTCTGTAAGTGTTCAATTAGTGTGCTCAACTTATATTGGATACTGGAAATAAATTCTGCTTCTCCAAAGATGGAAATGTTTATTATACAAAAGATAAGATTTGAATATAAATTTTAGAAAAATGGAGAAACAGAAAACACTTATTAAGTGAATTTTTCATGCATTTTAACATCAGAGTTAACCACTGCAGAACAGAAACTATAACTTGATATTTGCTTAAATCTGTTAAGATTAACTGGAGAAGGTAGCTCGATATTTCATTTAATGCAAAAATTGAGTAGTTAAAATATTCAAAAAAAAAAAAAAAAAATGATATACTGAAGTAGCATGAAATTCACAAAGCAACTTTCATACATAAGGAACTATTTATCAACAAACTTACAGCTTCTACACAAACAGCTTTGCATTGCGCACCATTGAAGTCATCTGTGCACCTAGCCAATTCTTCAAAGTTTACATCAGGACTAGATTATAAAAAAATAAAATATTAAAAATTTTATAACATTAAAAAACACAAATGTTATTAAAAATCTGTGAAATGAAAAACAAAAACTAACACTAAAACAAAGTCGTAGAGTTACAAAGAGAGGCAAAAATTAAAAAAATTATATACATTACAATCATTAGTATTATAACAGCTTGCTAAGTTACTAAAACATTTTGCTAAACCGGAAAAGCCTAAAATCATTACAGTCTTAATAAGTTTAAAATTACAGAAAGAAAAAAATTATGATAAAGAATTAGAATTTTATGTGCTGATTTAATGTCATACATTAGATATTCAAAACAGAAATACACTAATATCTGCATCCTTAAAAAAGAACACATTACCTTTTAGGAAAATAAACCTAATTTATTAGAAAGCAAAACGAATTCAGAATTATTTAAAAAAGAATATATATTTTTCAAAAAAAAAAAAAAATGTTTTTTTAACAGGCTGCTAGCTTGGTTCGTTGGCAAAAAAGCTATGAAAATCTGACACAATCATAACTCTTTACTTTAGACATCAAATTCTGGAAATTAGTTTTATTTAACTACCTAGCATCATTTTTTTTTTTTTTCAAAACTAAGTTGAAAACAATGTGCAATTATCCTATCTACATATGTCAAATTTAAGTACCAAAAATTAGATCAATACTTGTATTTAACCGCTTGCCTGATTATCCCAAGTTATCTCAGGTTCGTTTATATTGCAGTTAATTATTATACCGAGAAAACTCGGGCAAAGTAGAATTTGTTAGTACGATTTGTTTTATCATGGTTTTACTCGAGGGTTTGTACGCTTTTCTGCACACGGAAATTAAGTACTTTTAAGAACTTTTAAGGACCATTAATGAAAAAATTAAGGACCTATGAGCAAATGAGAACTGAACAAATTCAATTAAAAATACTATCCGTGCCTGAACTTCATTTTTGTAATACCATCCTAAACATAAAAGTAGGATGCATTACTATTAAACATAACTTAATTAACATAATTATTAAGAAGTTATAGAATAAAATAAAACTTATGAAATTTATCAAGTAGCATTAAATATTTTACACTTATAATAGTTGGACATATTAGAAAGAAGATAAGTGACATTTTATTTACGTTTTACTAACAGTTAGACTTATTAAGATTGTTGTTTTACTTCTAAATTAATAGTTAGCTTTATGTTGATTTTTTTATGTCTCATTTTGGACAGGAACTAATGCAGCAAGTATGTGGAGAACAGAAACACACTCTGTCTTACACTACATACACCTCAGTTTAAAAACTATCTAAGTGAATTGCATTCTGGTGAGAAAACAGAAATGGGAAATTATAGTAAAGGCTGAAATTATAAACAACTGGGTAATTTACATAATAATAACTGTACATACTAATAGCAGTCCATATCTTTGAAGAATCTTTCTTCAGCACGTTTCCTTTTCATTTTAGAATTTAAATTAAAGATTTCTGTTATTTTAAAAACACTAAATTTAGAAAGCATAGAAAAAGCTGCTAATTTTATATCTTTAGTAATATGAACATTCAGAAGCAATATGAAATATATATGGTAAGGGCTGGTTACAGAGACGGTGTGGCAGAATTTTTAGAATTTAGTGACACACCAAGCAACAAAATCTAGAAATGGCAAAACTTTTAGAATTCAGAGCAGGCATTGGAAGCAGAATTTAGGATCCGCAGAGATTGCATCAGGTGGGAAAATGCCTAGTGCCAGCCCTGAGTATGATGCATTCAGACATATAATATGAATCATTTAAATTTTCAGTTTTCAATTTCTATACTAAAAAAAAAAAATTCTTTCTATAATGCCTGTCCTTCTGATAAGAATAAAAGCATTTTTTATATTTTCCATGTCTGTGTCTAGTGAAAATTAGAGAAAATAAAGGGAAGATAAACGTGTTAAGAAAAAGATTCTAGTATCAGAAGTAAAACATTCAAATATTATGTTTTCTTTATTCTTCCAGACCTTCTCCAAAAAGTAAGAAATACATTGTAAACTTTCTGCAAAATACATTCGTTACGTGTTAATAGCATGGATACATGTTTCTGTAATTTTCTAGAATCTTGGGTCTATAAATTTTGCCTTCAAATCCTTCTAAACTTTCTAAGCTGCAATGTCTAAAATCCTAAAGAAAAATTCTGTAACAGTAAAAAGCCAGAAATATTTTGAGAAAAAATATCAGTGGGAAAAATGTAAAATTAATTTTATAGAGAAAACTGAATATTCTGATAATTTTGAATACTCTGAGACAATTACATTGGAAAAACTCTTACCATGAAAAAATTTAAAAAGACATTTTAAATTATTTACATAGCTATTTTGCTTTTGCTAAAACTGTTTCGTTAATTGTTTCGTATACCTTGCTTATTTTGCAGATTCAAAATATTGTATAATAAGTGGCCAAAATGAAACTTTATAATATGACAGCGAAAATTAAAAACTTTTTATTTTAATGTTATTTTTTAAACATAATTTCAATATTTTACCACTATTTTAATGAAAATTATCCATGTTACAATGGAAAAAAAAAATGTCAAAAAATTCCCAGATCTCAAAATTAAAAATTTTCTACAGAAACTGATCTTAAAATCGCCAAAATGCTGAGAAGTCACCGAATTCAGAGTCGTTTAATAAAAGAATTCACATCGCGAAAAGCCAAAAGTTGTTTAAGAGCTCTTCATTAGAAAAAATGAAATCATTTCAAAATACTTATGCTGCACTTCTTTTACTATAAAACTCGAAAATCCCACAATTTATATTAGAAATAGGAACGAATTATAACCCATTCATTCACCCATTCAAAAGATAACCATATCTGTCAGTTGAATCACCAAAAATATTCCTCCAAAATGCTAATTCACACTCAAAATGGCAGTCATAAAAAAACAGACAGCTATTTCCGATGATTAAAATTAAGGACCTTCTGCTGATTTTGGCCGAAATTAAGGACTTTTATGGACCAAAAATCGATTCCAAAAAACTTAAGGACTTTTAAGGACTCTTAAGGACTGTACGAACCCTATTGGCAGTTTGCCAAGTTTTGTTGGTTGTGCAGTTCTTTCGACGGGACTGGTCATGTGTTTCCCTGTTGTATAGTATGCATTAGTAATGTATAAAGAAGGATACCTGCGTTGTAAAAAAGTAAAATAATGGTGGTGATGCAAGACAGCAAAAGCGATGATTTTTCAGATAGTGATTATGAAGAGCTGGAAAAAAAAATTTAAATCCAACGAGGCAGTATACTCTGGCTCCTATAAAAGAGATTCCAGCACTAAGACAGTAAGAAAAGAGACCAGATACCAGTGTACAGAATGTCAGGTATCACTTTGTGTTCTCTCTTGTTTCAAAAACTATCATACAAAGACTAATATTTAATTTTTTTTCGTTTGCCCGAGATAACTCAGGATAGTAAACTAAAACTAAATGCTTTTTTACACCTTCAAAAAATTTTAAATTCAACTTAAAACCCTACATATTTTGATTTGTTTCGTTGTATTTAGTAATAAAATAAAAAACATGATGGTTTTTTGCAATCTTTTTCAAAAACATTTGTAAGGGAAGTGGTTAACACGTAACAACAAAAATTAGCAAAGCTAGTAACTAAAGAAAAAAATTACAATGAACTCTTGCATCTCAAAATTTCTAGAGATGAAAAAATATTTGAGATAATTCAGATAATATTTGAAGAGGGAACTCCTTTTCAAGTAATGCCTTATATGCTATATTATGGAAGGGATTATAATGAAAACCAGAACTCAAAATGCAAATAAAACTGCAAAGAATGTTGCTTATAATAGAGTTTAAGAAACAACCCCCTTTCATAATATATTTCAGTTTCCCGCTGATATACAATTTGCTTTTACAAAAAAATAAAGCTTAGGAAAAAACATGTAAAGTAATCAACTACCTAATATTTGTGAGTAGAATTAACTAGGTTGCGAGTTAGTAGGGTCTTGTCTAAAAAAAAGTTTAACCTTTACAGAATGACAAAAAAAAAAAGTATTATCACAGATTATCTGCAAAATAAAACCAAGTATAGAAAATGGAAAAAGAGAAAGAAAAATGTATACAGGCAAATAGCAACAATAACAGACAATGGCATAGTATTTGGATTTTGTTTTTATTCTCAACAATATATAATTTAATTGTACGTAATCCTGCATATAAAATTATTGTGAGATTATGCATTAAAAGTAACTTTCTTAATAGCAAGACTAAATCATGTGTAAAGCATTAATCTTCAGTTTCATATTGAATTCACAACTGAAATGCAACAGCAATGTACACAAAAACAAGCAGCATATGCACTGTGAATTAAGGAAGAAACACAGACATCATTTGTTATTGCTGCTTTCATTCAGCAGGCACAGAATGAAACCAAAAAATGAGGGAGCATGGATATGCCAAAGACAGAGAATTTTTATACTGATTTACTGACCACATGATTCTTATTCCCCAGCTTCATATGTTCAAAAATACAAGTAAATTTTTAATAGTGAATTTCTGTCAATAATAATATGGGTTACTTCTACTTCTCATTTTTTTTAAAACACATTCGCTGCCGAAACTGATGTGGTGCATCCGTTTCCATGTGCCAAGACTTTACTTGCATTTTTGTGGTTTTAAATATTTTCTGTTGTTTTATTATTTAATTATAAATACAACAGATTACTTTCAGCAGTAAATAAATTCACATGAGTGTACTCATAACTGGAAAATGAAATAATATTTTTGCTCCCTGTGCCAACTACCAGATAACTTGAAACTAGATAAACAATACTCGCACATTCTGTGCATTCGCACAAGATGCCTGCACATGTGATACGTTAATATTCCTTACTAAACTGTGGGAGCGTCACTGAACAAGAACTTGAGCAGTCCGTTTATAAAATTTCAAATGCAAATAAACCAATAAATAAATGAAACAAAATAAGAAATAGTTTTGCAATCTAAACATTTAGTTTTTGTATCTACTTTTTGAGAAATAAATGATCTATTTCAATATGTTAAGCATATTAACCCCTTCCTGCATGCCAAACACCTAAATACTGCATATATTTGTTACAGTAACACTTGTACTCAGTGATTTATACAAGGCGACAGTAACGAACTACCTTATCGCTGGCAAATAAACTCACTTTGCCAACAACGAGTATTCTCGTAACTGGCAGTGAACATGTTAACTGTCATTATAGATGTTCTCTCTGGCATAACTCCAGTTAATCAGGAGCTGCCAGTAGTTTATACATTGCTGTTTGTGAAAACTGCACCACCACGAAAATCGAGCCAAACTTACATAAAATATAAAAACATGCAAATGATTAGAATTACACAGCACCTGCACATGCGTGGAATGAGAAGCGGCTGCTTGCTCCATGTACATAAAGGAATGCCAAGCTGCATTGAAATCTGTTTATTGTTCTCTATCTGCTGTGAACATTTAATTAGTGCTCAATATGCCTCGCCAACTGTGAAGGGTGCCAACACCTAATGGAGTTCGAAAGAAGCTACATTACCAATAGTGAGAGGGAGGACTTTCATACCTAGCACTCACAGCCCCCACGCAGAGTAATGCCACAACAGTGATGCGTATTTGGAAGACATGGACAGAGGAGAACCAAACAAGACAAAATCCTAACAGTGAGGCATGCAACAGCATGGGACGACAGACACCTCATTCACCAAGCGGTGACGGATCGTACAGTATCATTCACGTGTTGTCTTTTCTAGCTTCAAGGTTCATCTTAGTCTGCTGCAGCATGAACTGCGTGCAAGGTTTCCTCTACATAGGGTTCCCCTGTCAATGAATCAGATGCCTCTGACTTCAATTAGCACGGCAATACAATGCGTGGCATGCCATGTGGCAACAGTGTTTTTCTTGCTACAGACTGGAGTATACAATGATGGAAAAGTACACATCTGATGTTACAGAAAGGAACATCTGCTTCCACAGTCTATTATCCAACGCCATACTGCATAAACGCCTGGCATCATGGTGTTGGAAGCTATTGGGTATAATTGTCGATCTCGCCTAGTGCATATTGCAGGCAACCTCAACAATGATCGTTACATAAGGGAAGTTGTGGAGCCAGAGGACCTCCCAATTCTTTGACATATTCCGGACACTGTATTTCAGCAGGATAATGCCTGTGCACATGTTTCTCAGACTGCATAGACCTTCTTTATGCCACAACAGGTTTCACTTCTTTCATGGCCTACTTACTTATTCCCTGGATATGTCACGCACTCAGCATGTTTGAAATTTCAGTGGTCGGCGACTCACTCACACAGCTGGTGGGGCACATACTAAGACTGAACCTTGGCATTAAGTCAAAGTCATATGTACATTTGACACTAGCCAGTATTAGATTCAGCACCTGTACTATTCAATGCTATGACATGTACAGGCTCTTAATTCTCAGCATGGCAGATACACAAAGTACTGATTTCCAATTTTTTTTTTTTTTTATCTTGTAAATTTGATTGTTTATTTGTACCACAGGTAACATGCAGTCTGACAATTCCTTCATGGTGTTGCATTTTTCACAAACATATGCTCTTCATCCCTTGTAAAAAGACATTCTGACCTACATGATTCCTATATCTACGTATGACTGTAACAGGAAACACATGAGCATAAGTTAATGCTTATTCATTTCAATATGGAAAAAAAAAAAAAAAAAGTATTTAAGCATGCTTTACAGGTAAGAAAAAGACTCCCTTTCTTTAAATTAAAATCGGGTGGTGGGGGGGTGAATTCATCAAATTTTAAATTAACCACAACAAAATTCACAATTTCTATATATATATATTCTTCGTGTAAATTACCCTGTCAAAATTTAACTTATACAGAAAGCTTTAGTGGGATCAGTAATTTGAAACAAAGACCGAAGACATCAAAAGCTAATTTAAAAGTTTTACATATTGCATGTTTAACAATCACCCAGCAGTAACTCATAAGGCAACATACTTCAGTGATAACTGAAAATTTTCAACACAGAAAGGTTAAATTTTAAATGACACATACTCAACATTCATCTTTCTTGAATGGATTTGCATAATTCTTGCTCTAGCTTCTTCATTCGGATGAGGAAATTCTATCTTTCTATCTAATCTTCCTGATCGAAGAAGAGCAGGATCAAGGATATCAACCCTATTTGTAGCAGCTATAACCTACAGAACAATGAATGTACAAAGAGAAATCATTAAAGGGGGAAGGGAAGAATTTTTGTACTTTCTTATTAAAATGATCTAGTAAGCCTCTACAGAAAATTGAAATTTTCACATTAGAGACCAGGAGATTAAGTTTGCCAGTTTTGGCAACTAAGTGTAACAAGAAAGAATCTCAACAAGAAAGCACTAAAATTTAACAAGAGAGCACAAATTTATAACATTTTACTACTGCACATTGCAAAAGTATTTATGATGGGATAATTTTAATCGTCTGAAAGCAGAAATAATTAAGAAGTGTATGATGGATACAAGAGAAAATGTAATTGAAAATTTTTGCTAACTAAAAACTATTAAAAATCTGCTGGTTTAAGGTAAATTATAGTATAACATTACTTTTAGATTACATGATTATCTGCAATCTCTAAATGCCCTAAAAATAAAAGATTAAATACAATAAAGTTCTAAAAACCTGTATTAAAGAAGAAATTTTAAGGTTAGGTAAGCTTTATTTATTTATTTATTATTATTATTATTATTATTATTATTATTATTTTAATCTGAAGGAAGAAAACTATTTAAGGGGAAAATATTCTACTATTTTAAGAAGAAATCTAGGTCAGAATTCTTCAGAATAAAATAAATTTTTCATTAAAATGAATCCTTATCTAATGTTTAATTCTTCTTAATTTAAAAATAAATTAGATAAATGCACAAAAAATTGTTAATATCAAAAAAGTAATAAAGATCTATAGAGAAATATAGTTAGTAATCACATAAAAAATTATTAATTTTGATTCTACTTTAAACAAAATCTTAACTAGTTTTTTAATTTTCTTATCTTACAAATATACTGAAAATTATATTTTGTGGTATAGCAGAAAATATGAAATGTTTAAAATTTTTCAAACAAAAATAAATATTACCCTTAAAAATATGAATTAAAAATACCTTTATATCTGTACTGGAACTGAAACCATCTAGCTGATTTAAAAGCTCCAACATAGTCCTTTGCACTTCCCGATCACCAGCCTTTTCACTGTCAAAACGCTTAGTACCTAAACCAAAACAACTTTATGTTTCAATTTATTTTTGAACACATAAAAATTACACGTAAATTATGACTTTTATATTCCCAATATGTAAAAATAACCATTCATAAAGCAGCAATCATCATATGCTGAAAATAATATATACCAGAATTGTAATAAATGTGCATTCAATTATTCATAATTACTTTGACACATTCTAACATACAAAACTTAAATAACATCACTAAATATTGAAATCAATATATCAACACGTGTAACTTTTATACATTTCTTACCTGTTAATAAAATTGTATTAAATATTACAGAAGATAATTTTAATTTACAAATATTAAACACTTAACAAACTAGACAAAAACTTGGCATTTTTTTTACTAGAAATACACTACTTACATAAGCTATAACAAATCCTTCTACATATATTATAGAAGGTTAGGATTTTGCTATTTTGGTACCATCATGTTTTAAATATCACTTATGATAGTTATCTCATGACTAAACACATTAATTCAGTCAAGACAGCAATGTTGTCAATATATGCTGGAACACCACCGTGAAATTCACAGCATACTTACATGAACTCAGTCATTTAGCTCAATAATGATATGAGAAATGTTTACACTAATTTGTCTCTGAAGTAGTCATAAAGGAAATGATCAGCTACTACTAAATTTGGCGCAAGTGTGATGATCGGATAATGCTTCCTTAATATGATGACAAGTATGCGGGAGACAACCTCTGAAATATGGCCACAGAGGTCCTATTTGTTTGGGCCTTACTTCATTTATTTCAAACTATTAATCTTGATGGCATGCCCCTATGGTAACTTAAAGAGTTTTTGAGCATGACCATATACCAACACATATTAAAAATACAGCTACGTAAAAAGAAATTGCATCACATGCTGCAGTTGATGTTTGTTTAGGAAAACAATAATTAAGCTGCATAACACTTAAGTGGACTACTGTAAATAATAACACTACTAATGAATAAAACCAAGCATAACACTTTGATTCTGAAACTATTAACAAAAAGTAAAATGATTAAAAAGTAACGGAAAAGATTCAGTTTCAATAGCATACTTCATAAATGGCACATCTTTATTTAGAAACAATGATTATTCGACCTGCTTCATTTTTGTGCTTCATAAAAGGGCTTTTATCTATTTCTACTGTTTTGTTAGGTACTCCAATTTTATAGAAAGCTCTGTTTAAAACACTATGCATACAAACTTCCCACAGGTAACTGTTCCAATCTATCAATGTTTTTTTGCCATATTCAGCTGACCATTAAAACTCACACTTTTTTTACTCATTAAAACTCGTACTTTTTTTACAGTAGGATCTCATAATTTTGGAAACAATCCGCTGCTTATTGTTCTATAGAAGGCAGATCCTACGTTTTAATGATTTTTCTCAAAATGCAAAGACAAAAATACAACAGTAACAATTAATTTATATCTTTGTTCATAAAAACAAAATGCAGCCTATCGAGAATCAAACACGGTTCCTCACACAAAACTGCAAATATTATGAGTGTTATTAGGTACACCTGGAGCTAAATCGTACTGCTTGGTCACAATTTTATAGTCAATGGGATAATATGTCAATACCAATAAATAAGAAATTTATAGCAGAAGGTTTTCAGAAGTTAAAGTTTTCATGCAGATCTGGTAACGATCCACATTTCACTTCTTAAACTGTTTTCAAATAAATTCTTTTTTAGTGAATAAAGAAGAGAAAATATAATTGAACAAAACACAAGCATTAAATTTTGATTTTAAATGGAATTTCCACAATAAAAATCTGTGAAATGTTGAAAAAAGCCTTTGAAGACTTGTTATTAAAAAACTTTGTTATTAAAAAACGGGAGAGACCTTTTTGAATGATATAAGATATTTACAGAAGGTGGGAAATATATCGAAGATGAACAGTCCAATAGACCAGCTACTCCACCTAATGAGAAACACATTGAAGAAATCAGAGAACTAGTCAGAGAACTAGTGCTAAGCAATATCAGCTTAACAGTTAGGGATATTACTGAACAAGTTACTATATAAAAACTTGATTCTATCAAGCAATTTTGAAGATCATTTGAACTTGCAAAGCATGTCACTTCTCAAGTTATTCGAAAAATGGTGACTGGCACTCAAAAGGTGAAGCAAAACCAAGAAGACCATATTTGATAAAAATCAAGTGAATGTTGATGGGCATTGTCAATGTGGCTTCAAATCTATGCCACAGTTTACCATCGTACTGGATAGCAGGTATTGTTGTGCAGCTTATCTGCTATCACTGACCATATTTTAGTCGGAAGAATGTGTTAGCCAAGGCAGAAGATAAACACCCTAATGTGTTGACAAAACATAAGACAGCATAAAAAACAAAGGATTTCACACTGTTCTGCTGAAATGTGAGCCTCAATGATACAACATAATCATATGCATTAAAACCTCAGAAATATAATGGTGTCTGGTTAAAGATATGCAGACCAGAGGTGCGTGGGATGGCACTCTGTAATATCAATCGAGGTGTTGAGCCTGTATGATGATGAAGAATGCCAGCTCCTAGCATGCATTTCCCTTAGTGCCTCCACATACAGATCCAGGACTTGTCAGAAAAAGACACTGTGCTACTGCTATGTCCATACATTGTAGACGTCCCCACAGTAGGTCCTAATCCCTCAGCAACAGTGTCAAGGAAAATGAAAGCAATGGTGCCTGGCTGACAAACCAAGGTCTTGCAGACATTGTTGCACCATACTGCACGAATACTTTATGCTGTGTGCACATAAATGTCACTGTATGATCCTCAACAGCAATGTTAACAAGATATCCTTTGTCTTAGACATTGATGAGAGAGCACTGAGATCCCATTCTTCACTCTATGTGATCTTCCTAGATCTATCAAGTACAAATTTTTATAACAGCCACTGGATCTTAAACAACAGAAGCAACAATTAAATGGTACAATAATATGCAATCCTGATAAGATATAATTCTTCCATGATTTATCAAAAGAATCCTTCTGCTAAAAGTTCCAACTTGGATAAAACATAACATGACATCCAACAAAAACAAAAAAAGATAGACAGCATTTCTGCATGGTAGTTCAGAATTTTGATGTGCCGTTTTATACTGCTTAAAAATATCATCATTTTTGCCTGCAAACTGTGTATGCTATGAATTGCAAATTGTACACATATCTCAACATGTTTTATCTTTCATACATATTTCAGGTTTCTGATGCACTTCTTTCATTATGCAGCAATTTTGTTGGCTAACAATGTATAATAAATGAGAAAGTGAACAAGAAAGCCATCAACGAAACTTACCTATTGCATCTAATTCATCTATAAATATGATTGCAGGTGCCTTCTCTTTAGCCAAAGCAAATGCATCTCGAACAAGTTTTGCACCGTCACCAATGAACATTTGCACTAGCTGAGGCCCTGCTAACTTTAAAAATGTTGATTTTGTTTGTGCTGCACAAGCTCTGGCCATTAAAGTTTTTCCTGTTCCAGGTGGACCATACAGTAAAACACCTAAAAATAAAAGAAAATGAAATTTCTCTCTAGATGATATGTATTCAGATACATATTATAAAAACTACGAAGTAAATGGAAATATATGAAAGTACTGTCGTTTAACAGGTATATTATAGAACAAACAATATTTGCTAATTAGTTGCACATCTGCCCCAATTTAATCACAGATGTTTAAACTTAACTGAAAGATTTCTCCTTAATTAATTCATGCTTAATTTTGCAATAATTATTTTAATTTCATATAAAACAGTTACCTCTTTCAAGCATTAAAATTCAAAATAATTCAAAGTTTATGAGCTAAATAAATAAGCAAAAGATTTTTTAATGTGTTCTTATTCAAAAGTTTAAACGCAAAAGATTCAAGAAATGCCCAGGAAGGGTGAAATCATTAGGAAATTTTTAAAAGAAATATCTCTTACATGCATTACATATGGAGATCAATGTTAATATGACAATCTTTGGTGGTTAAGAAAAGTTATGATTTTTTTGGGGGGGAGGGGATTGCTACACTTAACTGGTGACCCTTGAGCTGCATGTGGATTGTAAGACCTTTCTGGGAGGGGGCCTGCAGATATGTGAACAAAATTTATTATGATTGACCAGATTTGCATATATTCTCATTTTTCTAATCATTTTAAGACTATCTTCATAGGAAGATTGTTTGGAATTAATATGACAAGAATCTCGAAATAAGAGGTATTTGTTAAGCTTAAAATATAATGCTAAACACAACTTAAATTGGACCTACGATATAGATGTAAGCATAAGATCATAGAAATTACCATATATCGAAATGGAAATGCAAATTTCAACTCAGAATGCAATGGCAAATAACAACTGAGTCAAAATATATAAAATATCTTTAAGGTATATCACAAAAACATTGATTTCATACACACATGCAAAAAAGGAGGGGGTAATTCAAATTATGTTATTTTATGAAATCATATGTTAACAAAATAGAAATGTACCTTTTGGAGGCTGAATACCAAGATTTTCAAATTTCTCTTTGTGAGTCATGGGAAGAACAACAGCTTCAATCAACTGCAAAGATACCATAAATTGATACTGAAACACATCTGAACTGATAAATATTAGAATGACAAAGTCAAGTTTAGGTACAAACTGAATTTAAAGAATGAAACAAACAATTAAAGCTTTTAAGTCAAATGTGAGGAAGAGAGAAAATATATATTACTTTAACTAATTTTTTATTATAATGTCATTAACAATTTAATGCTTAGGTAATGAAAGGTTAACATTTAAAACATAGAAAATAATTTTTTTGATTTAAAAATACTCAATAATATTAAAAAATTAAAAGTTAAATAATCAATTGGAAACAATTCAATTAAAAATATTTCTATAAAAAAAAGCATGTCATCAATTTTATGTAATAATATTTTAACTATACGTCTCTGACAGAGATTCATCTCTTTTGGGAGAAAAATTGCTTGCTTCTCACAAGAAGGTATACAATGTTTAACAAAGGGTCTGAATCTGTTTTTTAACTCGAACTCCTTAAATCATCTTGAATTTAAGGGATGTTGATTTTAGATTTTCCTTAATATCTATCAGATATTTTTTACTAATTCTACTCACTTATTTAATCATTATGATGTTTATATACATGGTTCTAAATTATAGGCACTCTAAAAACCATGGTCCTCCATTGTTAAATTTAGTTCACCTTCTTTTCATATATGAAATATAAATACTACTGAGCTTAATTAGTCACCTATCTGCTATACCTAATTTTTTAATGACGTATTTATTTAATCATTACTATTCACTAATTCCCTCTAAAATCAACATGAGAAACATAATAGATACAAACTTCATGAAAACTAACAAAATACTGGAATTCCCTCTAAAATCAACATGAGAAACATAGATACAAACTTAATGAAAACTAACAAAATACTGGAACATCTAATATACAAGAATAAATTAGCAGCTGACAGTCTTTTCTTTAAGCACCTAAATATTTCTTCAGATGGAGAGTAAGAGTAGTTCTTTTTTTATTTGTATTTGTACTGGTTAGTAATAATTAGAATATATTTTAAAACTTTCCAGCATACAAGGAAAAATTCTATAATAGATAATCAGCAAAACCAACACTGAACACTGTTTGAGAGAGAGGGAAAAAAATTAACTAACCTCCTGAATTTGTTTATCTAAACCTCCAATATCACTGTACTGTTCAGTTGGTCTTTCGTCAACTTCCATAGCTTTCACACGAGAATCATACCTAGAAAATTAACAAGAGATAAATAAAATAATCTAGTGCAATTAACAATCTCAGGTTTTTTTTTTTTTTTTTTCTTTTAAAGAAGAAATAAACTTACTCTTGAGGTAGTGTTTCAAGAATGAGATAAGAATCTTTATTCACACCCTGAAATAAGTAATTAATAGTATTTTATATGGATACACTTATATATAAAATTTTGCAAAAACTAGCAATGGACAACATATTGCGGTAGATTAAAATATTTTTTTCCCTGAATTAATACATATCAATACACCACCTTTTAAACTCCAGTACTAACAGAAATAGACTTTCCCTTTTGAGACTTTCCGCAAACACATCTATAATTTCAAGATACATTTTTTTAAAAAATATTTAGGTATATTCTCCGAAAATCATGCATCCAATTCTTCACGGAAAAACCTAAGGGATATGTGCAATGCTCGTATCTTTTAAGGTCACTCATTGGAAGATTTGCCCTAGCTTTCAAGCAGTGGTAAACAGCATTGACAAGTGATAAAGAGAACTACTACATGTGCATTGGTTAAATGCTTGAAGGATTAAATATTCTAGCAAAGATGGTGGATTGTATTCAATGCAAATGTCTACAAGAATGCTATTACAGAGCACTTCCAATCTGAAAGAATTTGTGGAATTAGATGTTTTCTTTTTGGTAGTCATTTGAAGCAGTGATTTTGAAGTGAAAATCAAAGGTTTTAGTAAATAGCATTTGCTTTAGTTGAAATCAGTTGATCCTGTGCTTTCTGCAATAAATATGGCTCCCGTGGAAAGAAACAAATACAGTGCTGGTTCCAAATGCAAAGCCATACATTTTGTGACAGAAAATGGAAATCGTGCTGCAGCAAGGATGTTTGGTGCTGGTAAAAGATGGAATCGATAATAATTAGTTATTTACGGATCAAAATAATGATGGTGAAGATGAAACAAAATTCCATAATAAGCATTTTAAATAAGCAGTATTATTTTCGTGCATGTAAAAAAATCTTAAATTTTTTCTTTATTTTTAAGCTATCATTTAAAATTCGGCGTATAATGCACACCCGTAAATTTTGGTCCAATTTTTTTGTATTAAAAGTGTGTGTTATATGCCGGAATATATGGTACATAAATTTAATACTTGCATATGTATAAACTAAAATAACTGATAAATTTTAATATATGGATAAACATTAATTTATATAATTGATCTTCCTCCTCCGACCCCCCAAAAAATTTCCTGTTTATGTTTCAACTAAAAATTTTAACAAGATTACTGTCCAAATTAAATTCCCACTATAGTTCTCATTTTCTCAAAATTTCAAAATTATGCTAACAGTATTTCTTACAACAAAAATGAAATACTGTTTTATAGAACTATTTAAACTACTGTTTTTTTTATTTAGTGGCTGAAGTATCTCCTCTTATGATAACAGAAGAAAAAAAAAAATCTAAATGCTTATTAAGAACATCAAAATGAACACTTTTTATTTTACTGTTACAATGTATGAATCAAAGTCCATACAGGCAGGCTTACCAGATGTCCCATTTTGACCAGAATCGTCTGGGTTTGATGATGCGGTCCTCGCATCGCAGCCAATTTATCATTTTGTTCTGGTTTTTTGGTAAAAGTTTAAAAAATGCTGAATATACAAGTAGAAATAGTGCAGCCTTGGTTAAAATGGAGATTTGGAAATTAAAATATATTCTCTGTTACACTCATTGTTACCAGTATTTAGGTCTAAATACTTTTAATGTTATTTTGATCTTTGCCTCAAAATTATAGCATGTGGCCTAATGAATTTAGACACTTTATTTTTTCATCCAAATGTTTCTTCACAGAATTTTTAACAGCATATAACCCTATGGGATCCAAAAAATTTTATTTCATTTTTTGGCAATTTTGTTTCAGTTAAGAGTTGACTACACTTGGAATTTACACTGGCCAAGCACTATTGCTGAGCACTACATTGGCGAAACACACATATCCTATTTCCAGTGGCGTAGCTAGGGTGGGGCAAGGGGGGACATCTGTGCCCGAGCGCAGCATCCAAGGGGCATCAAATTGATGCTAGGAAATTTTTTAATGAAATGTTTTCCATTCTTGGCACACAGAAAAGGGGTGCAAATTCTTCAGTTGTCCCTGGGCTCTGGAAACTAGCATACTTGCCAACCTATGACACTCAAAAATCAGGAGATTTTTTTTAAGAAATCAGGAGATTTTTCACAATGTTAAAAGACTTTTTAAATGATAAAAATATAGTTTTTAATAATGAATTAACTTTAAACAGTAACTAATTCTAAATGCAGCAACAAAAAAATACCTACCATAAAAACATTTTTATACTGCATCGTTTAAGAAAAAAAGAAAAAAAAAAAAGACACTTTAATCAGTTTTTGTACAAATGTATAAACAGTGGCAATTTTTTGCTTTCTTTTAAGAAAGAAACTCATAATTTTGTTCCCAGCAATGCCACGTAGGCCTGCTGCTTTCGCTAATAAGTTTTTCTAATGTGTCATCACTAATATTAGATCAAATTAGTCCTTGTTTTTGCAACAACATTGAGAATCCCTACACTCTGCATTACTATGCGGACTGTCAAGATGGCCAACACAATTCTAGACAGTTCACTATATTTAAATTCCATCAGCAACCTTTCAGTTTTCCAATTAAACTCCACTGGGTGTCAATCCTAGCTGATTTTATAATTTCATCCAAGTTTTCTAATTGTAAACTGTTGTTATGCAGCTGTTGGAACTGTTTCAATTTTTCCTTCCTTTTAGAACACCTTTCAAGATAATAATAAATACCAACAATGTGTTGATCCACATTTATTGGTAAAGAAGCTGCCCGTTTTTCAGTTGCTAAATTTAAGAGGTGACAGGTGCAACTCATAATCTGCACATCTGAATTTTCCGTTCTGAAGATGCCTGCAACACCAGTGTTGAAGCCTACCAATACTGGTATATTATCGGCACCAAGTGCTAAGCAATTATCCAGAGGGCCTGCATTTTCTTCTAAAGTTTAATAATTAGCTGTGGCTATATTACAGCCTGTCAAAAGTCCTTCTAAAGTAGGAACATAAAGTAAACTGCACTCAATTTCTGAAGACTCTGGATCAAAAAAAAGGAAACAACAATTGAATACAGCTTTGAATCGGTATTATTGCTTCCATCCGTAGAGGCAGAATGGAGCTGTTTTAATGCAATCAATAACTGAAGATTTATATTTCAAACCCATTTCTTTAACAATTGCACCTGTTTTGATTCTGGCACCTTGAGTATTTCTTAGTGATTTCACTATCGGGAAACAATTTTCTAAATAAAGCTGCAGCATGATTCGATGCATTCAGTGGCAGGTGGTCCAGTAAAAAGGCAGAGAACAGACATTCTGCATTAATAACTTTCTGGTCCTTTGTTTCCGAAGAAAAATTTAATTCTTCGTTTTTTTAAAAACAACTTATGTTATCCTTGTGTTTTTGTGTAACGCACATGTTTGAGAACATCCACCCTTCCACCATGCGAAATCAAAAAATCACAACAACAGGCAGTACACATCGCAAATTTATTACATTTCTTTAAGGAAATAATGGAAGGAAAGTCAACTGTGTACGATTTTTGAAATGTACACAAGTATTTCACCTTTGTCGCAGACATAACAAAAGATGATAATTTCTTAAACTATTTCCCGAAGGCACGTGTTCTCACACAACTCAGGACAAAATGAACGAAATAACTAAAGAACATTCAAATAACAGCTTGCTTTTTCCTCATTGGCTAATATATGCCAGATGACACGCAGTGGGGCTCGATGCCCTTTGGAGAACTGGAGAACGATGTTTCTGGATACGTATAATGCTCTCACTCACAAAGCAGAAGCTACCTAATTCGCAAGGTTTTGTTTTAGATATAATTTAGAGAAAATTCAATTGCTTTCAGACGTCCAAAATCACTTTTTTTTTTCTTTTTTCACATAGCAAAGTATTAAGCCAGTTGCATAAAAATCGTGAGAAATTTTAAGAATAAGAATAAGTAGGGAGAAATATATTGTAAATCGGGTTGGCGAGAGAGCGGTCGAAAATTGGGAGTCTCCCGCCTAAATCGGGAGAGTTGGCATCTCTGCTCTAGCTACGCCTCTGCCCATTTCAGTTGAGTTCAAATTGCGTGTCGGCATTTGCAATTATTTTGTTTTATACATTAAATTAATCTTCAAAATGACAGAACACAAACTGTGTTTAATGCTGAATTGAAAAGGAATCATTTGCTATTGAAAAATGCTTATGTCTGTACTAAAGTGAAATGTGAACTGTGCTTTTTTAATACTTAGTAGCTCGCAGTGAGTGTATGGACATTACAGATCACCCGAAATACACAAAACATATGGAAAGCCTAGCCAGCAGCAGAAATTTTCTTTAAACATAGTGATTTAAGTGTTGAAATTCTTAATAGGAGCTAAAGAAGCAACTTTTGCAATCCATGCTGCTATTCACAATTTCAGCTTTAAATCAGCTGCTTGTTCATCTAAATCAATTTTAAAGTTCTTTGAAACACATCTTAGGTTAGCCAAACAAAATGTGAAGCTGTTGTTACTGTGATTGAGCCACTGTTATTTCTGCCACTTTCCAAAGATTTAATTAAAACAAATTTTGTGACGTTATCAAGAGAGTTTTCTAACAAAAAAAGAAATTAAAACAAATTTTGTGACGTTATCAAGAGAGTTTTCTAGCAGAAAAGAAATTAAAACAATGTCAATTGTTGCCTGGTATCTGATACACTACATTAGCGAAACTTCTAAAACTTTCAATCAATTGCCAGTGAAACTGCAGAAACACTGACTGCGAAACATTTAATATCATTAGTGGCAGTTACAAAAGCCCCTCCCCAGCCCCCCAAAAAATCAGATTTTAAGATAATTGCAATATCAATTTTGGAGGTGTTAAACTTAGAGAAGAAAACAATATTTACAATAGATTGAAGAAGGAACTAGGAAGAAATATTGTAGAGTTTTATTAATTTGCAGATGTAGAATATAAAAGACTCTTCAACATGACAAACTGATTTTCTTTTAATACTTCCACCTATTGACAGAATACTTGAAATTTATAAAGGACAGAAATCTTACTTTATTTCATAACAACACTACACAGTAATGATAAAACAGCTTTTTTTTAAAAATAATAATAATGATTGTGACAAAATGGGGTTTAAGGAAGCTCAACTTATTTAACAAAGCTATTTTGATTATGGAAAGTATAAAAGCATGAGCAGCTGATATTATCAGTGAAACTGGAAAATTAAAAATAAACCTTGGCTGAAAGGACTAACAACAAATTGATACCTCACACAGAAAAAAGGAGAGGAATTTTTAAAATACTAGAAATAATGGAATTATAAACATTGCATTGCATAAAATGAGTTAATAAACATTGCATAATTGCTTTTTAATGTGCAAAAGTGTGCTCAGCAAATGCAAAAATAATAAAAAAGTTAAAGAACCTCCCTGATTTGATAGACTATAGGGTACTTTTCCATTTTGCCAGCGCAGGTGATAAAGTCACCAATAATGGTACAACCTATGCCAAACGGAATATCCTCACTGGTAACCTTTTATGCCTCATTTTCCAAACAAGTAGCAGCTATTTCTTATCAGATTGGTTGTTTCTTTCAATACTGGCATACAATTACATAGAATTTTTACCAGATAGTTCAATTTTATACCCTAAGCCCATTTGCAGTAATTAAGTCAATTAGGATGCAATTGCACCACTCAACCGAAGGCAAAAATATAGAAAAGGCAAAATTAAGGGTTAAATTCATCAATTTTAATGAGAATGCACTAGTGAAGTAAAGCACTGCGGTTTTACATAATTTCTGAGTAAGCTATTCGTACAAATTGAAATAATTCTTGCATTTAAACTTGTATTCCAAATTAAGATTTAACTTGAAATTTATGTAGATATTTACTGAGATTTTTGTAGCAGTGAGATGAGATTACTTGTGGTCATGTGATATGAACCGGCGAATCAGGATGTTGAACCATGAAAGCATGTAAATCTTAAATGATTTGCCTTTTTACAAAATTTTAAACGATATTAAAATGTTTATGCCTTCAAAATAAAAAATTCTTACAACTAACATTTGATAACATTTTTTATGTGTATACTGTATGTTGTTACCAATAAAGTCTGCCTGGTAAGATTTGTGCAGGCGAAACGGAAAAGCACCAACTATAGTATGTATAATATAAACATGTTAAAAAAAATCAAATGACTCTTTTTATTATTACATTCACTTTCTTTCAATATTATGGAAGTGAACCTATAATAACTTGAAATAAGCCTGCATTAAAAATTTAGCACAGTTATTACAGAAATGTTAAATATTTTATTGGCATGTCTAAATCAGTTCAATTCATAATAAAACTTGGTTAACAGTAATAAGATTAATGACTTCAATGCAATTCAATACTTAAATAAATAATGCTGTATTTTTCTAATTCTTCTACATATTTTAGTCTTCCATAGCCTTCTTTTTAGTTTAACATATAATTCTTAGTGAATTCTTGCAATTAATCAAAATAACAAACAACTAAACTTTTCATAAACTGCTAAGATTAAGTAAGACATGTGGAATGTTACAAATCTATGGAAAAAAAATATTGTTGCACCTGAATTCTTGGGGGGGGAGGGGAATACAAAAAAGAAATAACTCTATACTTACAACTAAGTCTGCTGGCTTTAACTTTTCAGCATCTATCAAACCAATAACTGGTAGAAAATATGTCTGAAAACAAAGAAACATGAAATTAATTTACAAAATAAAAAATAAATTAAAAAAAAAAAAAACAAGAAGTTAAATATTTTAATTCAAACATAGCTATTCTTAAAGAATTTTAAGTTAAAAATGGATTTTGGCGGTAATCAAAATATAATTCATAGAGAATATGATTTTCTTAAAATGTTTAGGTTCACATTTTATTACACCTCGAATTTCAACACAAAATGATCATTAAAAATCATACTCATGTCAAGAAAAAATTATACATGGTGTAGCTTCTCTGAAACTCACTTAGAATATTTTATGATTTTCAGTACAATGAAAATTTGCTTGCAAAATTTTCATTGTATAAATATTCTTTGATCAGACATTATTTAGTTTTGCAATAAACTACTATATTAATGTTCCAGTTTATTTTTGCATTCCACTGTTCCATTATTGATTACTATTACCTTTTAGTTATCTCCTACATTGCTTTACCATACTACATCTTGCTTATTTAAGGTTCTTACAGAAATTTAAGCTATCTTAGTAATCAAAGTGAATAATAAATATTCATTGGAAAACTAAAATAAAATCTTGATACAATTTAGAAAAAAACTTTTTACCTAGACTTGAATTCGTTTGATACTAATCTACTGCATTCACCACAGTGCTATTGGAATAACATGACTTAGCTTAAGTACAATAATGGCCTTAGCTTAAGTATAATAATGACTTAGCTTAAGTAATAATGGTGATAGGATTTCCTACAACATTGCAATCACTTGACCAGAAAAATGCATGGCAGTCAATTAGTAATGTGAAGTGCTTAAAAAGTTACAGAAAACAGCTTAAAACAGCTTTGTTAGCATCATTTAAAAAGAAAATGAAAGGTCAGCTTTTAAACCTGAGGAAGTTTCAAGACATTAAAAAGATTTTGGAATTTAAGAATACTAGACATAAAATCATTTAAAAAAATTGAATGATATGAAAAAATTCCCCTAGATCAAAATATTACACATTTTTAAGCTCCATAAAATACTAAGCATTTTCCTTTAAACTCTCTGTTCTCTTTATTGGGAGAACAAAGATTTCCTATGAAACCAAACTCTTGGAATGTTAAAACATCATTGTGTGTATCAACACAATTTGCTACTAAGCCTAACAGGCAAAAATATTTTTATCAAAATATTTGTACTTTTGCACATATTATTTAAATGCTATTTTTTATCATAAACAGAAAATCCTATTATTTATAATTAAAACAAAAATTTTGGTAATTTGGTATTACTACAACCACCTTGGAAGTCGCCAAATTTCCAGAAGTCGGCAAAATGTGGCAACCACGTGCATAAAAATGCTTCAAGTAACCATATCAATAACTGTAAGTTTGAATAAGCAACATCACCATTTTCATACATGCTGTTTTGATTACATTAGAAGCTAAAGGCAAATTACAATATTTTTGTCTCCAGCTGAATTTGAAATACACACTTGGGAGATTTGCCTGTAAACGTTAGAAAGTTCTGTGGAATTTTTGCAGGGATATAATATTTTGCCGCACAGTTAGGCATGTTCAAATTCACATTTGATATGATGTATTTTAGAAAAGAACCTTTTTTTGGAAATGCAAGATGAAACAGTGTAACGAAACACATCGTCATTTAAAGCGGTAATTGGTTTGAGAGTAGTCATCTGCCACTTACTACAGCAGTGAGATTTATATACTGCTAGAAGTAAAGAATTAATGGTAAGACTATGATGGTAGACTAGAATAATTACATGCAGGAGATACCATTTGTAAATAATTTTAGAAATTATTTTATATAGGCTCAGTATCTAATCCCAATAATCAATCATAATAATACTCAGTAATATTTCAGCAAATTTTGAAGTAAAAGGAACCTTGCACATCAGTTTTACGAATTTTTCTCATGACTCCAAAATCAACATTAGATATCGAAAAAAAAAAAAAAAAAAAAAAAAAATTATAACAAAAACTGTTAACTTACCTGCCTAGTAGATGTCTTGATCACAGCACATTTTCCTTTCCGTTGCGAATCTAGATCAACATTTGCTCCATCTTCTTCCCCGAGCTCTTGCGGGTCAACATCTAAAAGCTTCAGGAAAAATGATATAGAAATGACAGCTTAATTGACAGGAAGATAACAGTATTATGGTTATTTTTATTAGATTTTTATATGGATTTCTTTTTCTCTTTCCTTTTTAAGAAGTTGAGAAATATGAAACAGTTCTCATATAATGCAGAATAACTATGGAATGTTTACTCCAACAAAAGATACTACTGCATGTAACAAAATGGGAAGATTAAACTTTTTAAGAATCACTACACAGTTATAAAATCAAAATGATATGAGATTTGACCCAACCAAAAATTAAAAAGAACCCACCTTTATGCTTCCACCATCAAATATACTGGGCATAAAGCTCCAGTGTTATCAGGTTTCAATATCACTCTGACATTTGGCAATGGCTGAGTTAATGTTTAGCTTATACACTGAAGACAGAGTTCGTACACATTTCTGCACATGGAAATTAAGTACTTTTAAGGACTTTTAAGGACCATTAATGACAAAAATTAAGGACCTATGCGCAAATGGGAACTGATTAAATTCAATTGAAGATATAATCTATGCCTAATTTCACTTTTGTACCATCCTAAAAATAAAATAGATCCCTAAGCATACTACTAAACATGAATTAATTAACATAATTGTTAATAATTTTGAGAATAAAAAAAAAACTTATGCAATTTATCAGTAGCATTAAATATTTTACACTTATAGTTGGTCATATTTGAAAAGTTATGAAATTTAACGTTTTACTAACAATTACGTTATGTTGATTTTTTTTTATGTCTCATTTTGTCACATACTTGCAGTCTAGAGGTTTAGTAATAAGCAGGTAAATTTTATGTCAAACTGCATAGTTAAAATACGAAGTAAGATCATAATCAGCATGATTTATAACAAAGACTGAATGTTGTCACCACTGCTTTCTAGAGAGAGACTGCTGATTAGAACAACATTAAAGCCTGATGTAGGCGAGGTTGACAAGTGTTGAAGTTAGTCAGGCTCTTTTGATGCAGTTGGGTGTCGCTTCGGTCAGTTCCGGGTTGTACCCAGTTAATATATTTTAAGGTTCCAATCTGCCATTAAAGCACCAGATGTGATATGTCATTAATGCATTAGAATATGTTTTACTTAATTTTTAACATTTTTTTTTTTATCTTGTGACCACAGTGAGTAATTAATGAGGCAATAACTCACTTTATATGTAGATTTTTTTAAGGATAAGCAGTTGGTTATAATAATTAATTAGGTATTTGATAACCTTAGTCATTATGGTTTACACGACCACTATTAATTTTATTTTTAACAATATTGTTAAAAAGCCCTATTTAAAATCAAAATCTAATAAATTTCACAGTTTAAAATACATGTAATTTATGACAAGATTTTAAACGATATTAAGATAATTACGCATTGAAACCTCGACATTTATGTTTTTGTAACGTTATATCGATTTCCTTTCTTTTAAGCATCTTTTCTACAATTAGATTTTGTCTCTCTTTGCAACCAATGCCTCGCTAGTTCTGCATGCTTCATCTCCTAACTTGTCAACTTTCTCCATAATGTACCAAGAGGGTTTAATTGGTCGGGTAAAAGTTAAATAGTCCAAACCCCCGACAGACATGAGCATATTATCACTAGGTCTAAATTAACTAAAATATCAGCCAAGGTTTAAATAAGACTCTTATTTAAAAGAACTTAGAACAAACATAAAGCATGTTCTGATGCTAACAAATCAATTACAGCTCACGGTGATGTATTAAACAGAACAGTCAATTCAAACTAATAATGTGACTAGTTGTCAAGATTATACAATTTATTTTATTTAATCTGACTCAATAACTCTCTCATATGAGAAAATAGAAACAGGAAATTATAGTAATGGTTGAAATCATAAACAATTGGGTAATTTACATAATAATAACTGCACATATCTTTGAAGAATAATTTATTTTACATCAGAGATGTCAAACTCATAGGTACACTTGGGCCAAACAAACAAAGTTTAACTTTAGGCGGGCCGCTTGCAATATTTCTTCAAAAATATTCTAACAATATCCCAAAATATCAAACGTTTAGCAAAAATCAATTCAAAACAGAGAAACTAATTCTATCTCACAGCGGAATCGCTACAAATCAATCACAGCATTAAGTAAACAAACAGTTCACTAGAACTACACCTACTACTGAGATGAGTTGTTTGTTCTCGGCTTTTATAAGCTTTATAATTAATTTCTCGAATATACTGGAAACATCTATAAATATCCGGATTTTTGAGGATGGCAACAGAAATTACAGAATATTTATTTATTAGTATTAATGCAACGCACTGTTCTATTTTTAACCTTCCAACGCAGCTGTCTTTCAAAAATCGTCTGCGTTGCTAAGGCCACATGAACAAATCTAATTACAATCTAAATAAAAAAAACTAACTAACTAATAACTATGAAATCCGTAACAATATGAATTAAGTAATAATAATAAGCAAGTGCATGCACATGCATGCACCATATATCGTACAAAACTATGATTGGAAAACTGAGACCATGAGTTCAGCCACATTCGGCTATCGGGGGATGCGTACAAGCTCTGAGTGCCGTCACACAAAAGCCGAAGGTAGCTGAACGCAGCTAATCACACGCATTTGTAATTTAAGTTGTGTGTGTCAGCTCGCTGTGAGTTAATCTAACAACACTGAATAAATTATCGTTAATTACTTAGCAGTAAACATTTCATTTTTTTCTTCATTGATATGTTATTTTATTATTATATATTATTATTTGCCGATATATTGGCCGGGCTGCAAAAATATTTGTTGTGGGCCGCGGGCCACGAGTTTGACATCCTTGCTTTACATTACTCAGTTTCTTTTTTCAACACGTTTCCTTTTCATTTTAGAATTTTTGGATTTAATTAAGAATTTGTTTTTCTAAAAAACAGTAAATGGTAAATGCATTTAGAATGTACAGAAAAATCGGTTAATTTTTCTTCTTTAGTTATATGAACATTCAGAAACAATATGAAATATACATAGTAAAGGCCAGTTACAGAGCTGATGTGGCAGAATTTCTGGAATTTAGTGACACACCGAACAACAAAATGTAGAAATGGCAAAAGAATTTAGAGCAAGCATTGGAAGCAGAATTTAGAAAGGCAATAGGCAGCAGAATTTAGGATCCACAGAGATTGCATCAGGTGGGAAAATGCCTAGTGCCAGTTATGTGTATGATGCAATAAGAAATATTAGATGAATCTTTTAAATTGTAAGTTTTCAATTTCTTTATTAATAAAAAAAAAGTCCTTTTTTATAATGCCTGCCCATTTAATAAGATCAGAAGCATTTTTGACATTTTCCATGCTTCTGTCTAGTGAAAAGTAGATAAAATAAAGAGAAGGTAAACATGTTAAGATTCTAGTAAAAGTAATACATTCAAAAATTATGTTTTCATTGTTCTTCCAGATTTTCTCCAAAATTAAGAAATTCATTGCAACTTTCTGTAAAATCAAATACATCCAGTACGTGTTGATACCATGATACATTTTTCATTTGTCACATATTTCTCGAATCTTCTAGAATCGTGGTCTATAAATCTTGCCTTCAATCCTTCTAAACTTCCCGCTGTAATGTCTAAAATCCTAAAGAAAAATTATCCCTACCAATTCTGTAACAATAAAGAGGCCAGAAATATTTTGGAAACAAAAAAGGAGGGGAAAAGTGTAAAATTAATTTTATAGAAAAAACTCATGCATATTTTGAGAATTTTGAATACTTCTGACTGAGACAATTACATGGGAAAAACTCTTACTTTGAAAAATATTAAAAAGAAGACATTTTTAATTAATTACATAGCTAATTTTGCTTTTGCTAAGAGCTGTTTCATAAATTGTGCTTTATAGCATTATACCTTGTTTATTTTTCAGATTTAAAATAGTGTATAAATTGCCAAAATGAAACTTTATAATATGACAGCAAAAAATAAAAATATTTTATTTTAATGTTATTTTCGAAATATAATTTTAATATATTACCATTATTTTAATAAAAATTATCAATGTTAAGATGTTTTTAAAAAAAATCATCGAAAAATTCTCATATTCTGGAATTAAAACGTTTCTATAAAAACTAATCTAAAAGTCGCCAAATTTAGAACCGCTTAATAAAAGAATTCACATCCCCAAAAGCGAAAAGTTGTTTAAGAGCTCTTTACTAGAAAAAATGAATCTCGAAATGCTTATGTTTCAGTTCTTGCTTAGAAACTCGAGTATCCCATCATTCATATTAGAAATAGAAACAAATTAGAACTCATGAACCCATTCAAAAGATAACCATATATACGGCAGTGAATCGCCAAAAATATTCCTCAAAATGCTAATTCACACTCAAAATGACAGGCGTAAAAACAGACAAAAATTTCAGATGATTAAAATTAAGGACCTTCTGCTGATTTTGGCCAAAATTAAGGACTTTTAAGGACTAAAAATCGATTCCAAAAAATCTAAGGACTTTTAAGGACTCTTAAGGACCGTACGAACCCTGTGAAGAGCAAATGAATTAGGAATATCTGTCTAGTAGCTTGTAGCATTACCTTTCACCATGAAGACAGCTGCAATTCATCTTGGCATGGACTTGATAAGACACTGTAAGTGATGGGAAGCCATACATATCCACGACTCCTGAACAACCTCCCGCAATTCATGAAGATTAGATGGAAGGTGGTCGGAGCCTTGAACATCTCTTTCAATTGCATCCCAAATGTACTCGATTGGATTCAGGTCAAGTAAGCTTGATGGCAAGGAAAGCACATACAGGTCTGTGGAATGTTCATCCAACCATTTATATAATTTGAAAGCGATGTCCTGGTGTATTGTCTTGTTGAAAGATAATCTCTGTTGCGGGCTGTCAAAAACAAACATATGGGAGCAGCTGGTCATCAAGCATATCCCAGTAATGTTCACCTATAATAGATATCACATATGCCAGCGGTCCCATTTCAGTCCATGTGAACACTCCCCAGACAAGAATGCCATTTCCACCAGTTTGAAGAGCCCCTGCTGGCAGGAAGGTTCCATTGCTTCATATGGTTTTATGCCATACATGTACTCTGCCATCGGCATATACCAAAGCAAATCTATACTCATCACTCCAAGGAACACTTTTTCGCATGTCAACGGTCCACTGGCAATGTTCCCATGCCCATCCATGCTAATCATTGTGCTACATTTTGTGCAGTCAGCAGAGGGACAGTCCTAGGATGTTGACTCCTGTATACCATTGAGAGGAGATGGTTTTTTATGTTGTGGCAACTTACACATTGCTGTGCACCACTGTTAAATTGGCAGATGATCTGTTGCACTGCAGCCCATTTATCTGCTGTTACTAATGCGGGCTAGCCGATGGCTACTCAGTCATCCACACAATGATGCGTCCATTGGCCCTGACAGGGATGATTTTACTGGAATCAACGCACTTACCATAATCCGAAGATTCACCCTAATTTCTAACATATAAATATTTTGGCGATTATTTTTGCTTTGAATTTTTTGCCAAATCACTAGCTTTTGGCGATATCTGAATTTGGTCCCAATAACAAAACAGTACCAAGATGTGTATGCATGTATGTGTACGTACACACATGCATACAAACACGTTTCTGAATCCAGTCCCGATAACAAAACAGCATAAATTTATATGATACTTTCCGACTGACTGCAACGAAAACATATTCATGAGGCAATGCTGTAAGTCACCAAAATAGTTATATGGCAACTTAGGATGTCAGAAAAAAGTATCTGTGTGACAATCCATATGGGTGAGTAGCACCTGCCTCTGAATTTGCACTTTTGAAATTCAATGACCATTTTTCTGATTAGTTTTTCTTTTTGCATTGAGTGTGTTTGTTTTTCTTGTAATGAGTCGTAATAGGACTGTGAAGTTTGCCAGCAGATGAAAAAGAAAGTATTGCATTTCTTCAGAAAAATGGCATATTGCCTAGCAACAGAGAATGTAAAAATTCTCATTCTATAAAGTTACCCTATAAATTCTTTAAACAACCAAATTTTATGAAAATGGCAATGTGAAAAATTGCATGCAAAATGTTAGAATATGGGTCAAAAACCGGTATAAAGATTGCCATATGTCATTTACAATAACTATTCATTCCTGTCGGCCAGTGCACAATGCCAACATTGTGAAATTCTCCCTCTCTCTTTAACCCTTTGAGTGTTGTGACCGGCTTTATCTGGTCATCAGAAGTTCAGCTACTTGGCATATATTAGCTTATAATTTAAGACATTTTGCTTTCTTATTTTCTTTAATAATGTAAATATCATCTTAATGAATGTAAGCTTATGAAAATAGAGACTAAAATAAATAATTATACAAACTCAATTAATAATAAATGCTATTTTAAATACCGGTCTTCATGACGGACCTAAAATCCTGCGGCGCTCAAAGGGTTAAAAAAGAAAAAGCAATAACAGATTGTGGAACACACATATAGAACAAAAGCACAAAAAAATTACAGAAAATGTTTTTCCAAGAAAAATGACCGATTCAATTTCTTACCAATGTTTCTCCCCTTTTAATTTTATTGTTGACGCTCTTTTATGGAATTCTTATGTGCCACCATTTGGAAAATAGCTCTTGCTTTTAGCATATTACCTCAGCACAAATTTAGCTATGAACGAGTTCACAAATACTCTTCAGAATCACTGAGTTTGCGAATTTTTAGTGGGGCTGTAGATGATCAGGATGTACGGTTTATATTTCACTTAAAAAATATTCAACTTAACCACTTCCGAAAAAAATTCATGTTAAAGCATTTGCTACATATTCCTAAAGATATAAAACAAGATAACTACATTTTTATGGAACTCTAAACAAAGAATTTGAAGAAAACACTGAAAGGTTAAAACTAATCTTAAGTTCCTAGCAATTAACACGTCGACTGCCACACACATTTTACATAATTTGCCCAAGGTGACAACATAAATTTATTATGTGATGTATATTATGTTGAAATATTATCTACAGAGATAAGGTGAGTTATATAATCGTGCTTAACACATTTTTCGTGGTTGGGAAGGGGCTCACTTCCCTGACGCACTGCAGACCATTCGAGGAATTTATTATTCAAATTTTTGTGATTTATTATTCTTCAGACCATTATGGTAACAAGGGTATTATTTAAAAACAGTATTGATTTTTACTCTTATTATGTACTCCTACTATTGGTTACATCACCAGTCACCCCCACTGTCAACGTAGGGGAAATGCCAATTTTAACACACAATGATTGATCAAGCGTTATTTACATCATCATCAACTTGCATGTTAAAAACTACCTTTCTTTGGACTTAAATTCAATAAAATGAAGTTCAGAATGCCTTAAATGATAACAGATTTCAGGTTTTGCTTTGTTTCTAAAGATTAATTAACCATGTTAACAATATATACTAAGTTTTCCATATTGATATTTATACAAAACAGTAATTTTAATTTTTCAGATTAGTTAAATACTAAAATACAAAAGGTTTTGGATTAACTTCTATCACAAAAGTATAAAATTTTAAGTGCATTTTCATAATTATTAACTTTTAATTTTTATGGAGTTGTTTAAAATGAATAATTGGTAAAAACTTACTTCTATAACATTTGATACCAAATATGGAAGGGTCTTATTAACTTTAATTTTTTCATTATTTTCCTTGATCTTCTCTTTCTGAGCTTGAAGTTCATGAGAAATCCTCATAACTTCACTTTTCATTATCTAGGGAGATAAGTAAAATAATGTAAATACATTATGAAGAATTACTGTGTCCTTTCACATTAAATAAAACCATAAAATTAAATTAAAAATTAATCTTTAAGACAGATAACACTACTGAAAATATAATATTTAAGATTTTAAAATGTGAAAATTACTTTTATCTCATTATCCATGAGTCTGGTTCGGCTAATGATTTCATCTGTAGACATTCGTAAAACTTCTTCTGCAACTGCATCTTGTTGCTATAAATTAATTAAATTTATTAAAATAAATATGACTTAATAACAACTTTTATTTGAAAATTAATTAAGTTTGATTATGATTCTAATGCATTAAATACCAGACTGAGACTTTCATAGCATGCTGGTGTAACCACAGCTTGTGGGAAAAAATGACATTTAAAATCTGCATTACCTCACAAAATAGAATATACGTAGCGTATTCGGAAACTAGGTACCGTTTCATTCTAGTGCCTTCGCAGCGCTGTGGTAGGCGTCCCGCACATGCGCACTAGGGTTTCTTGTTCACTGACTTTCAATTGTCGCCATTTTGGTTGCTCTATGTTGTGTTTTCAGTTTGCTGTGCACATTCAAAATATTTAAGACAATTAGTTCTCCCGCTGACTGTAAGATTAGTGCCGTGATTAAATTTCTGAACGCGAGCAATGTTAAACCGGCCGAAATTTATCGTCAAGTGACAAAAGTTTACGGTGAATACGCGATAAGTGATGGAATGGTGAGAAAGTGGGTAAGAATGTTTAATGCAGTTCGAACAAATGTCCACGCCAAGGCTCATAGTGGTCGGCCTTCTGTTATCACCAATGATTTGGTAAGGAAAGTTGATGAAGCAATTCATGAGAACAGACGCATCACAATGGCAATTCTTTCAGAGGCATTTCCACAAATTTCACGTACTGTTTTGTTCGAAATTGTGTCTGACCGCTTGAATTATCGCAAACTGTGTTCCCGAAGGGTTCCAAAAATGCTCACTGATGTTCACAAAACAAAGCGATTTGGTAGTGCCCTGACATTTCTCACGCGGTACAGTGATGAAGGAGAAAACTTTTTAAACCAAATTGTGACAGGTGATGAAACTTGGGTGTGTCATTTCACACCAGAATCGAAACAACAATCGGTGGAGTGGAGACACACTCATTCTCCGAAAAAACAAAAGTTCAAAGTGACAATGTCATCACAAAAAATCATGTGCACTGTCTTCTGGGATAGGAAAGGCATTTTGCTTACTGAATTTCTTCCCAGAGGTGAAACCATTAATGCGGCACGATATTGTGAGACTTTAACAAAACTAAGGCGTGCCATTCAAAACAAACGAAGAGCAATGCTCAGTAAAGGAATTGTGTTGCTCCATGACAATGCTCGGCCCCATACCTGCTGGTGTCACTCAATCGTTAATTCGACAGTTTCATTGGGAGCAGTTCGATCACCCGCCATACAGCCCGGACTGGTGCCGTCCGACTATCACTTGTTCCTGCACATGAAGCGCGAGCTTGGTGGCAAGCGCTTTGGATCTGACGATGACACGAAAAATGCTGTGGAGTCGTGGTTATCGAAACTGGCGGGAAGTTTCTTTGACGATGGCATACAAAAACTGGTCACCCGCTATGACAAGTGTTTGATCATTGGCGGAAACTATGTTGAAAAATAGTTTAAGACATGTATTTTCATGTAAAAATAAAATTGGATTCGAAAAAATTGTTTTACCATTTTTTTTTTTTTTTTTAAACGGTACTTAGTTTCCGAATACACCTCGTATTTGGGAGAAGGGAAAGATTTCATGTGCTTTCTTGAAATCATTAAGAATGTGTGATCATCTAAATAAACTACAGCAATTCAGGCAAAATATACAAATTTTAATATAATCTTATAAAAAAATTAAATGCTACAAATGCAGCTATTAGTATAGATTAATTAACTTTTATTAGTTAAATTCATTTTTTGGCCAATGTAACAAAAGTGTAAAAACAGCAGATTCAATAAAATCCGAACATGCGGAAATGTTACTAAATGCTATAAAAGGCATGAAATAAAATAACTTTTTCAGTATCAATACATATTATTATTCATTACTTTTTATTGTGATTTTTTACCTTGTTTATTTAACTTTCACACTCATCTAATCCTATTCTGGCACATATTCAAAAATACAGTACCTCACATTTGTACCAATTCAACTTGAAATTTATTTACATAGATCTTACAGTGAATATGAAACTTAAATTTCAGGTTTTTTCCTAATATATTATTTTTCTCTACTTTACATCTTGCTTTTTGCAAAATAAATATCATCAAAATATGCCCTGTATTAAATTCATTTATTCAGAAAATGTTAATCGGTAACTCATATTAATAACACAGACATTCAATTTTTATTGAGATATTTTGGAAGACCATATTTCTTTGAATAATTTTTTATTAAATGAAAATAACACAAAAATTATCATCTGGATTTGGAAATTATAACTTACTTAGTTTCATATCTGAAGTGAACATGGTAAAATGCTATAAACTAATTTAATTATTAATCATTTTTAAAAATAACAAAAATATTAAAAATATTAAAAAAAATTCTTGACGTAAAGTATTTAACTACATCTTGATGCTATAAAATGACAGCAAACGTGTAGAGCTACTGATAATGCACAAAGTCTAGATCACATTTCAAGCTAAAACCAAGAAATCGGAGATTTATACTATAGAAAAACAAATAACATTAAAAACTTAGTGATGTAAAAATTGCAGCAGATTTAGTAGAATGGTTTAAAGTTAATCCTGAAGCTATTAGACAAGTCATTACAAAACACGGAATGAGGAAGATATTCTTCATCGGAAAGAAAACTAGGAAAATATGTCTGGCATTCACAAAAATCTGCAGTAAGCAAAGATTTATCATACTGCAGACAAAACAAAATTTAAGGTATTCTTCTGTTATTGGGGCTGGATTCAGAAATATATGTTCAGACGTTTCCATTCATATATGCATGCATTTACAGACATATACATACATACAATTTCTGAATCTGATCCCGATAAGAGTACCAAACTTAATATATTTGGGATTAATAAATGAATTACCTGTGTGACAAAAGCTGAATGACTAATTGTATATGAAAAACCTACAGCTAAGCATGGGACTGGAGACATAACTGTTTAAGGATGTTTCAATACCTCTAGGATAGGATATTTTGTTCTGATCATGGTTCTGGAATTTGTTCACAGAAATCATTTGCCCAAATTGTTCATGAGAGTAATTTTTAGTGAATGGTAGAGATTTTCATTTCCAAGAGTTTGCTATTTGGTGGAGTTGTCATTGAGGTGGTTGAAAATTTCAATGTTTAAGTAAAGTACTTGTTCCTTAAAAATGAAAATTTTCTTAATGAAAATCTGAAAGCATCTGCTAGAAAACTTGGAAAGCCAAATACAATCAAATGGTATCAGGATAACAATCCTTAATACACGACCCAAAATTTTCACTTGCATTGTCCTGAAGTTATCAAATCTTGAATTCTATCAGACATATATACAGTTAGATGAAGAAATGAATAAGGAAACATGATATTTCTTCGAAAGCTCTTTGAAAAGAAATTTGTGGAAAGAAATGGTTAAAAAACTGAAAATTTTTACACGAAAAAAATTTATTGAATCCATGCTAACGAGAATGAAGAGCATAATTTTAACTAAAGAATATTCATACACTTACTGATTACCCTAAACAAATTGTTTTAAGTGCCTAATTGTTTACGTAATTCATTTTCAGAACTTTTTAAATAAACTCTTTTATTATTATTATTTTTTAAATGAAAGCATTTTAAACAACTTTTTTTCAAAACAAACAGGTTTAAAAAACTTGAAAGAAAGTAAAGCCATTTCACTAATATTTACAAGTAAAACCAAAATGTTCCAAAACAAATGTGAGCCTCTGTATAAGCAACTTAATCAAAATTGCAAAGTCATTCACGAAATTTATATTGCGATCTATACATCAATTTGCTAATAACTTCATAATAATTACAGTAGAAACTTAAGTACGCTTTTTTAATTGTAAGTGATGTTTTATTAATAATTTTAAAAGGAAAAATACTTCATTTTCTTCCATCGGAACGCTAGCCGCCGTCGTAGCCATGTTTATTAATTTCAAGAAATGATGATGCCAAACGCACAAAAATTCAATGAATTTTTTTTTATTTGGCAACAATTTTCTCAGTTTTGCTCTGTAAACAGTTAATTTTAATTTAAAATTACTCAGAGAATTTAAAAACTATCCAGAAAATTAACAGTGGATAGCTGTCAATAATTATGCAACAAAACTTTACACATACTGCATGTAAAGAGAAAACCTTGTTTTATTAATTATTTAGTTGAAGTATATGGCAACAATATTCTTACCGGCGTTTGTAAACAAATAAATAATCACGCCGTGATATGGTGTATCAAATCTTAACTTTTGATCTTTCCAGGTTAAATAATTAAAGCAATGGCAGAATTTCTTGAAGCGATATTTAACTGTGATATAAAGTAAAGAGACAGTATATTTTATTTTTATAAAATATGATGCATATTAACTCTCGAAATTAATCTTTGATATTAAATGTTTTCTTAAATTAAAAGCTATGAACAATCTGATTTTAATTACGAATTAACTTAAACTGAACATGAAATGAGATACCACATAACATGATAATACTGTTTGCGAAATACCATAGCCATGTAATTTTTTATTTTATTTTATTTATTTATTTTTTTTTAATATGTAACAGATGAACATAAGTAAACAGTTATAGTGTACTACGGAGATAAAATGTATGCATGATTTGTATATGAATTATCATGAAATTAATCAAATGGTGGGAAATTGAGCAAATTATTTTTTAACATGTAGGGAAATATTTGGTCAGCCTTCCCCCCCCCCCCAGCTATCAGAGTAAGGTTTTATAAAACTAAAATATATATATATAAAGAAACTTTGAACCCTTTAATTTTCAGTATCAGACTTGCATATTTATTTAATGGGAATAATTATTTATTATGAAAAATTTATATGTGAATATAAATTTATTTGGGGGGAAGTCCACACACATTCTTGGGTGATAAATTTCTACAAAACAACATTGGCATTAATTTCTACATACTTTTGAAAAACCCTTATCATTTACAAAGTTTTAATTTCTTTCTTTTAGTTTCGTTTCAACAGTAAAATATCATAATTATTAAAAGTTAAAGTAAGATTTTCTTCTATTACATTAAAATTTTTTTTTCAAGTGCGTGCCAAACTATGCTCTATCTTTATGACATATTTTTTAATCACTGGTTTTATTTATACTCTGTGGCAGATTTATAAAGATTTCTAAAGTGACACATCTTTTGGAGGCTTCTAATATTAGAACACAAGATAAAATTAATTCTTGTTTTGAAGAGAACTCACAACTGTAAATTGCAGAACCTCATACAAGTAACTCTGTTGCAATTAATAATTGAAAAATAAAACATTTTTACTCACAAAACAATGAAGTAAAATTTACTTTTATGAAGGAAGATGACAAATTCCAAAGATTTCAACATTTTTTCTATGCTTTGTAATGGAAAAATGATATACATATATAATAATTTTTGTGTTCATATATCTGCAATAATTTTTATGGAGTACTCTTTCCATGGCAGAAAACTAAAGAACCTCTTTGACAATGGTTATGACATTAACTGCACAATACCTGGTACAGATGGTTGTACACCTTTACACATTGCAGTTGGCATTGAAATTCCTCAAGGGAAAGAACAGATGCTTTCTTATTTGTTAGAAATGGGAGCAGATCCCAATGCCAGGTATGATATTTTCTGTCAATTTATTTCAAAAAATTGAAAAGTACATTTTATTAACACTTTTTTTATTTAAATTTATTTCTGAAATTCATTAAAATTTTTATGAATACCCTGTAACTGATTTTAATGCTTGAAAAAGAGTTTGCTTTTAACTGAGGAGATATCTGTCTTGCTTAGTTATAATTCTTAAATGAAAATTACAATGGAATCTTAGTCTCTTGTTTTTCATTGGAATAAAGGGAAAAACAATGAATGTGAGAAAATGATTAACCTAATAAAATATCCATGCAAACAGTTGAAATGGCCCATGACTGAACATGCTTGTATGGTTTAGGTGGAGTGTGTTGGAACACCCACCATACAGACGAGACCTTCTACAATGTGACTTTCTTTGGTTCAAAAGGTATTGCAGGGTCAAAGCTTTCACTCAGACAGTGAATTGACAGACAAAGTTCGAAACTCAGCCAAACTCTTTTTACGAATGAGGTATGCACCACTTGGTGCAACAGTGGAACAATTGCTTGTGTAATTTTGATGATTACATTTAAAAATAAATAATACCTTTTCATTTTGTTGCTACAGTTCCGTTTTCATTTGACTATGTAATTTCTTATTTAAAAATTTTTTCTTAGTGTATTTTATGTACATTTTCTATTTTTATATATTTATGCATGAGGAATTGTCTTGATGGGTATATCTTATGAGAATGGTCATGACAGAGCTTTTTCTTCTGTGTGGAAATTTTACTTGATTACCATAGATGCATTACCTGGTTAATGTTGGAGTGCAGTAAGAAATGGTGAAGCAATTTTTTCCTTGTGTTTGAAGTCATTTTGGAAACTTCTTTACGAGGAACTGTGATATACTGTTACATAAGTGCTCATTAAAAAATCTAGTTTTTTAAAGACTTTATTTTTCTTTTTTTATAATACAGTACAAAGTCCGTAATCCGGACTCGTCAGGACTTCGGCAATTCCAGATTAGGGGTTTTTCCGGATTATAGATCATCAATTTAAATCTGGTAAGATGGCATGCAGAAATTATACAATTAAAAATATGAAACCGTAATTTATGAAATAAAGAGCAATTATGATCTAAAGGGTATGAAAATTCACAAAAAAAAAAAGCTTAATATTTTATTTGTTTACTTTATTAAACATTTCTTTCAATGTAAGTTATTTAAGTTTCTTCATTTTTTGTGCTAATACTTTCTCTTTAATTCTCTCTTCTATAAACAGTCTCTATATAAACAGTATCTCTTCTTTTTACGTGCATGCATAGTGGACGCGCGCATTAAACGCGCATGAGTAAACGTATTATGCGCATGCATAACCGCATAATGCATTTACACATGCGCATAAAGTTTGTAGCTTTGAGGTCCAGATTATGGATGTCCAGATTAAAAACTTTGTACTGTATATACAAACTAGAAAGATAAATAAGATAATCCACTATTTGGGGGAAAGGAAAAGTGGCCTACCCATGCCCTTCAATACTGACCAAAATGAAATTCTAATTTTTGTGCGATTTTATTTTAAAAAATTAGCCATTGGTAAAAGTATATTTTAGGGTACCCCTTAGCAAAAATTGGTGATTTTTGGCGGTACATGGATACCGAATTTGTGCAAGTCTTGTTGTTTTGGCTACACAAAGCTAAAATAACAAGACAATGAATTGCACAAACTTGGTATCCATGTACACATTGACCTATTTTCACTTAAAAAAAACATTCCAGAATTGCACAAAATAGCATTGCGTTCTCCCTTGACTTTATCCATGTGCACATCGGCCTATTTTCACTTCAAAAAACATCAGAGAATTGCACAAACTAGGCTTTGCGCACTCCCTTGAATTTGTCCATGTACACATCAATATATTTTTCACTTAAAAAGTCAAAGGAGCACCCAGTTCTACAGTAGTGGCAAACAAAAAATACATAATCTCAATAAACTACATTTTAAACCAAACAATAAAATAACATAAAAAAAGATTATGCAGCAATATTATGTATTTAAGCATTACACAAAGCAAATATCCACTTACCTCTGTGGCACACAAAATTTCTTAACAGTATCCAAAAAACTTCCTAAAATTATCTGAACTAGAATATCAGCATTGCTACATAAATTCACAAAAATAAGAGTAAACAATATCCTACATATTCCGGACTGTCCCGAAAATGGCTACTAAGTAAACCTTCATTTACACACCAGTCAAATAATGCACTTTTCCCTTTTTGTTCCAAATTGTACAGAAACTTCAAATTAATCTTACTACATACAACCATTCTATCATCTAAACAATGAAACAAGCAATGTATTTTCTAACCACACACACCACAAAAGCTCTTACAAAACATTCCATGATTCAAAATTTCCCGGAATAATGCAAATGATTATGTCATAATAGGGTTTCCATAACATTCAACTACTCAGGTTACCATAAATGAAACAACAAATTGGTAATAAATGGAACAACAAAATCTCGATAATACAAGGGGTATCCTAAAGTCAACTCTAACCTAGTCAATACTTTTTGTGTGAAAAAAAAAAATGTTTTTTTTTTTTTACATGTAAGAACTATAAATTTCCTCATATCTCTAATCACTGGATAAAAATTAAAAATATTGGCAGGGAAGGTTAGTTTAATATGAGTATGAACCAGTTTCCATAAAAACCTTTTTTTATAAAGGTATCAGTTTGCTTAGTTCTCACATGCTTTATCAAAATCAATCAAATAGACAAGCATTATGTTAAATCAGAAGTCAAACAACAAATATATATATATATATATATATATAAATATATATATATAAATATTTGCGGTTTTGCAGCTGAAGATGGTGGTTCGGTAAAACCATCGAAACTAGTCCTGTGAAAATTTGGTAAATATAATGCTGATTTTTGTTGTTGACTTCTGATTTAGTATTTATTCGGCGTGTTATTTTGTCTTAAGCATTATGTTACTGTATAGTTTTAAAAAAATATCTTGTGTACCAACACTCTACAAGCATATTTTTAACACGTTTTCAATTACAGTTTCATACATTTTGTAAAACAGCATAGTTGAACATGGACATTTCATGGTTGAATTGCTTCATATTACATGTACTTTTCTAACTCAATTTACAGTTTTTACCGGATATCTTTAAGTTGAGGCTCAAGAAGTATTTAAGCAATCTATACAGTATAATAGTTTACTATTTTGCTGAAAACATCTTCATTTGTTAATATACAACTATACTGTGAATACTTTTCTCATCACCAGCATTAGAACTACAGTATCAGCTCACATCACACTATAATATTATACCAGATTGCTATAATTGGAATATTTCTACCAATGCTTTATATGACTTTCCATTTTTAACGATTTTTTTTTTTTTTTTTTTTGTACTAATTTCAATACTGCTGTAGAAATCCTTTGGCAATCAACATAATGGTTTTTGACAAATTTACATTAATTTCACTCCTTTAAACATTTGGCCCACCAATGATTGAATGATTACTGGAAGTTCAACCTAAGTTCATATACTGGCAAATAAGTGGGCTTCATGGGTATTATCCCCATATGTAATGTGGATATGTGCCAATTCCTCCCTTCGGCAGATAGCCATCATGTGCACTGTCATACTAAAATAAACCAAACCTTTCACAATTGCAGAATAAGAGAACAACTAGGCCTAGTAGCAGTATTTTAGGTACTTACATAGGAATCCAGCCACCTCAGTCCTCCTTTCAGTTCAGTTCTACCTCAGTACCACCTCAGTCCTTCAGCCAAGCAATGTCAACATTCTTGTATCCGTTCTTTTTTTTTTTTTTTTTTTTTTTTTTTTTTTATTTCAAGTTACAAAGGTTTTTATGGACAAAACCATTAATAATCAAAATTTGTATTTTTAATTGCTATAGAGTAATTTAAAATGAATATTGATCGTTCAGCATTTTTTTTTTTTTTTTTTTTTTTTTTTTTTTAATGTCATAAAAATAGCCAACTTGCACCTAGTAAGTAACTTCTACCTTTTTCTACCTTTTTAGCTGTAAAAATATTACCATATGCATTAAGGTGGTTGCCCTAATACATAAGTACCATATTTTATTTATATAATTTCATGAACTTAAAATTCATTACCACTAAACAAAGAATAGTAAACTGTTTTGGTTCATTGATGAGAAAGAATTCTTTTTCATTTCTCTTAATATTTCAATTAAGATTTGTTTTCTTTATGCCATTTCTAGTTGATACTACACTAAAAGAAACCAAGGCCCTTTGTATATTGCTAAATGCCAAGCTGCGATGAGATAGCTTCCCGCAAAGCAGGATTTGGGTTACCAGAAAGTGGCAGGGATGCCAGATTTGGCATGAAATCACCCAATTAGCAATATGCCATAAACAGAGTGAGAACATTCTAGAAGGCATTCTTAGTGGTTTACCTCAGGAATTTCTTGAAAGTAGGTTAAAGTTACATATACCCTGCCTGTACATGGATAAAGGAATAGTGTTGCATTCTGCGGGTTTGTGGATTTGGAGTGATTGACAACAACACTTGACAAAGAATCAAAACATGATTTATTCATCAGTATTACACAGGGGAGTTCCAAAGACATGTTAACAGTCGTCAAAAAACTACGATAAGCACGCTGAAACAATCAGCAACACAGCCTTCAGACTATGAGGCTATAACGGTAAAGACAGCAAAACACAAAATACAGCTCCCGACTCGGTTCAAGAACATTCTGGGGCACACTGGTAAAAATTCATTCTAGAATGTTCTGGCTCCGTCTATGGCATATCACCAATTTCATTGCCAAATAGGTGATTTTGCAGCAAATCTAGCAACCTTGCCATTTTCTGGCAACCTTAAATACACTTGACGGGAAGCTATCTTACTGCACAACAGTAACAGTATCTTGATTCAGTAACAGTATCTTGTATTCAGTAGCAGTATTTTGAGTTCAAAGATTAGCTAGGAGCGATTGAACAAGTCGGAAGCTGTACTTTAGTGCTTTGCCTTGAAGCCGTCTTCAGTGATATAACCTGAAGGTTGTGTTGTTAATTGTTTCAGCTTGTTTATCATAGTTTTTCAACAATTGTAAGTGGAACTTTCCTGTGTAATACTGGCAAATAAATTGTTTTTTGATTCTTTATCAAATGTTACCACCAATTACTCCAAATCCATAAACTTGTATATCAGACAACAAAGAAACAATACAAAAAGGCAATGTCTTCACCTATTTGTCCAGAATAGACAATTTTATTTAGAAAAATAAAATATAAAAATTAACAGTTCATCCAAAGGTAATTAGTTATTATATTTTATTTGTCAAATATATTAATATATTTTGTGCAGTTTTTTACTTGGTTATTTTCTGTAATAATTATAAATGCTGTCATTGTCAGAACTCTTTCTTGTTCAATTTTATCATTTTGTTCAGAAAACAAAAAAATTCCTTTTTAATATGTATGAAAAGTCTTCTATACATCTATTGCAAGTGTATTAATATTTCAAGCATTATATAAACTATCAGTAAAACCTTCATTCAGAATACTTCATGCCTTTGACGAGAAAAATATTTTTTATTTCTCTGCTTTCTAGGCAGTATTTATATGTATTCAAAATATTAGATGTAATGTTTTGAAATATATAGTATATTTCGAAATATTACATCTAGTTTGTATATTAACTGCTACCAAGAAGAGTGGAACTGTTTCTGCAACCACTTAATACTTTTTTACAGAAGAAAAATAATGATAGTTTGCGATTGCAGAAAATTATTAATTACATACAATATTTTATGTTTTCAATTATGCTTTATCCCAAAAATTTACTTACATGTGGGTTTTTGTTTCTTTCATTCTAGTAGAAATTTTGTGGCAGTTGCTTAAGAAAGGAGACTCAAACAATTCTGGGGCATCAAAATAACAGTATACCTGCAGAAATCTTACTATAATTACTTTCATTACAAGCAAACCTCACAAGTGTATATTTTGAATTAGTGTTTAAGTCAATATCACAATTTATCTATAAAAACTTATCCTTAAAATGCAACCAAAGAAAATCCTGTTGATGTTACATGGAAAAAAACAAAAATGTTTTATGCACATGGTTTTCAGAATGTGCCAACTTCTTTTTGGGTTGTGCTAATATATATGTACTGCAGGAATTCTGTTGCTGCCATGAGGTAATACCATGTCAATAACTGTCTGCCTTTTTTGCATCACGCTTGTACTCAGTTTCATTTCTGTTAATTTGTTACAATCTTAAAAGAATGACAGCAGGAAATTGGTTTGAAGGAAACTAGATCACATCAACAGCATATTATTAATAATTTATCACTCTTGCAAAGAAGTAACATCAGTCAAATTTGACCAAGAATGACTGACTGCTGTAGTTAAAGCAGGTATAGATGGAAGCAATTACCTTTTGTAATACCAAATTAGATGGAGAATCAGAATCCAAATACCCATATTGCTGCTATAGTTTCCTTAATACCAACCAAAGTTAGCTATAGCAATTTATTTTTCCACCTTTTCTATTAAAGATAAATCTGTAATTTTAAGAACATTGTGAATTATGTGCTAATTAATAGTTATAACAAAATACTAATATTACAAACTTAAATGATAAAAAATACAGTAATAAATATGTGACGAAATCTGTTTGTTTGAAGACAGGAAAATATAAACAAGAGATATAATAAAATACCTATATAAAAAATAAAATACCAGTATTTCACTATGTATAATTTCGAATATTATAAATTACTCTTCACTTAACAGATTTATAGAATACTACTTTTACAAAAAAAAAATTTTATTGGCAATATAGGAGTGTATAAGTCCTATCCAAACTGCAGTTTAAAGAGATATACTTGTTATGAAGCGAGATACTATAGGTGATGCTGATACGCCAAAAGAGTTAAATCTTGTAACTCATCGTGAGCAGGCGCATATCTTGAAGCGTCGAAAGGGCTAAAATCCTGTAGCCCCACTCTTGAATATGAATATAGTATTAGTGTAGTATATTGTATTATCATTATAATAAATGTTGTGTATGAACTTCGCTTAATCCTTGGATATATGCTGACCACAAACAGCATCTTGCAACTACATCTCTGGATACTTGGAGTTTTCATGATCGGTCAGCTGCAATACTTTTTAACTTAAATAATTTATTTAAAACTTTTATACAGTGCTTGTAATTTCTACAAAAGCTTATTTCAAAATATTACATCTAATCTGCATTTATACACATGTGTATTTAAATGCTTTTAAACAAAAATATCTTCATTTAAAAAAAGAAGTTACAATTATTTGCTCAATTAAAATTTAACATTAATTGTTAAAGTATTAAGTATTTTTGTTCTGAAATAAATTTATTATATTATCTAGGTCACATGATGCACTAACTCCAGTGCATATAGCAGCAATGTGGAACAATTGCCAAGAGTTAGAACTGCTGTTGAAAAGAAGAGGAAATCCATGGTTAACAGATAATGAAAACAAAAATTCATTTGATTTAGCAATAGATAATAATGCTTATGAAGCGTATCAATTATTAAACAAGTATCTTTCAGAAGATAAGTTAAATTTCAACACCAAAAAGAATTCAAATAATAATGCTGTGCCACCACATTTTAACAAAAGTTTAAGAAATGAAAAAGTGGAATGTAAATCAAAGGGTCCTTATTTTTGTACAGCTAATGATAACTTTCCCTTGTTATTGAGTTCAACTGAAGATGACAGTGACTTTGCAATTAATGTCAGTAAATTCTTAAAACGAAAAACAATGGTAAAGTTAGGAAGTGAAGGTAATAAGTTAGGACACAAAGAGACTGAAAAAATAGATAGTCTAGAAAATCATACTTCAGACATTAGAAACAAAATTAATACTTCACTGGGTAGTTATGGAAAATTAAGTGAAGCCTCATGTATGGAGATTGAAAATTCAGATACCTCAGTAATAAATGACTTTGAAGCTTCACTTGTGGAAATTGAAAATTCAGATACTTCAGTAATAAATTACTTTTCTGAAAATGATTCCTCTGAAACAATTATTCCAAGTGACTGTGAAAGTGATATAGTTTTAGTTGAAAAATATGTGGATATTTCTTCTCTGAGAGATTCCATTAAAAATGCAGATGTCTCTACTTGTAGTATGGCAAGTGATTGGAAAGCCTGCCAAACTAGTAGCAGTAAAATTTTATCTCAAAGTAACTGTTTATCACATTCTACATCAGCATTTCAAATAGCTCCTGAACTTGAAAAATATAGCAATTCAAAAATATTCCAAGAACTGAAAATCCTAGGTGATGACCCTGGTCCAGTGTTGGATCACACAAGACAAGTATATCTACGTCGACTGACTATGCTTAAATCTGGTTGTAAAGAGAAATGCAATTTACCTAAACCAAGTACGTATGCATTATCTTATCTTGAACACACATTAAATAAAATTCAAATTTATTTTGAATATAAATTTCTTAAATATCAGCAGAGTTTGAAAAGATAACAAATAGTTATGTTTTAGATCAACAAATGTCAGTAAAGTGGATAAGATAACAAATAGATAAGTTTTATCTCATATCTTTCTGAAACATTGAGATTAGAATGCTAAAACAAGTTAAAAATAAAATCATAAAACCAGTTTCTGGTTTTGTTATATATCAAGTGATTTGGTAATTACAATGAAATATGACTTCATTATTGTGGTATTGCATTAATAGGACAATTACAAGACACTCAATTCAAAGTAAGAATTTACTCTAAACTGTGTTAAATAATTATTTAAAATCATATTTGTTTTCTTAATAAATGTTTTGATTTACAGAATACTGCCCAGAGATGTATTTTTTTATGGAAGGCACACTTGATATAATTCGAATTCAAAACATGGAAAATATTCTGGCACAAGAATTTGATGATTCTCATTCAGAAAAGAAATGGCGAGAAGGAAATCAAAGATGCTGTTTCAATTATTTTTTACTGGATCCTCGAGTAACACAAAATCTTCCAAACAGATCACTTCATCTACCACCTGAGAAATCTTTTCTCATTTTTATTGACTCACTATTTTATGTTGGAAAAGGTACTAGAGGAAGACCTTATAGCCATCTCTTTGAAGCAGCTAAAGCAATGACTAATCCAAGTTTGGTAAGGAAAAATAAAGTACTTATTGCAATATAAATAAGAAAAGCAATTAAATTTGCTTTAAAAATATATACTATCTAATGTGGAACTGTAAGTTATTTTATGTTAATTCGCCAATTATTATGATTTAAGACTAAATTTTATAACTTCTCCTTTCTGTAGTCCTCAGCAGAATGCAAATTAGTTGCTTTTGTATATTTAAGCTGAGGGTTTTGAATGTTAGATTAGAGCTTTTGGAAACAGCATCTGCTACTTATTATTGCCAGCTTTGTGTAAGTTGTATTCCATTTTTAGCATTTTGCTAGCCAACATTTTAAAAAATGTGTGGTTAAATATCTGAGCCAGCTTGAGTAGTCTATTTTATGTGCATTCTCAGACTGCATTCCTACATTTAAAAGTTAACTCTCTGTTATGTTAATAAATAAAAAGGCTATTTTAACATTCTTTAGACTCTGATTTGATTCAGACTAAGTGATAAACTCGCTGTCAACCCGGAAGGATCTACAGGACAACTTTGACACAAGCTTCTATCTATAGTAGAACCCTACAGGGTTATGTAATACTTCTGTTTCACCCATAATTTCACAATCAAATTTTTATCCTACAAACACATACATACATACACACACACATACTATATATGTACAGGGTGTCCATAATTAAACTTGAAATTTGCAAGTAGTCTGTAGCAAAAATTACACAGCGGAATTGCCTGAAAATTGGGTAATGGCAAAATGAAATGATGGTAATTTTATTGAGGGGGAAAAAACAATGAGTTTCAGAAACCAGTTTTATTGAAAACATATAAATAATCTACAAAAGTTTACGAAACATGCTCGATATGATGTCCACCGTTTTCAGCTACCATCTGGAAGCGTAAAATTGCATGTTTGACTGTTGAAAGCAGCATGAACTGGGGAATGTTACGCACATGGCGTTCTATGCTTTCTTACGTCAGTTAGAGATGGGATGGGACCACAGTAGACCATGGCCTGGACGTATCCCACAGCCAAAAGTCGTAAGGATTCAAGTTAGGGGATCTAGGAGGCCAAGCTGTAGGAAATTGTCGGCTGTGATCTATTTCACCAATGGCGGCGCACTGTTCACACACAGGCGTGTGTGAAGGAGCACCATCCTGCATAAACACTGTGGTTGTATCACATCGCCTTGCCTGAAGAGCTGGAATAATGGATTGCTCTAATAATGAAACCTATCGTTTACCGGTGATGGTGCATGTCATAGGACGAGTAAAATATTCACAGGGGAGCAACAAATTTTTCATCCATGAGAACAGGGAAGTTTTCATCCCAGTGATGATGGGGAACATTCTAGGGACAGATTCAAGAACACGATGCTTTCATCTATTAAACCATAATGTTAACTCTGACCTAATGATATGCTAACCACTATCAGGGTAGTATTAAATAAAAAGCACCAAATTTATGCTAGTTGTGACTTAGCAATATGCAACACACAGTTTATTAATTGATCA